AGGCAATTAGGGGTTAGAAATGTAGAAATAACAAAATAGACGGGATATTTGGGTAAAAAAACTAATGTGACGAATAAATGTTTATGCGGTTAGGGATTAAATATGTAGAAATAGTAAAATGACAAAATAAACAGGAAGTTCGGATATGAAAATATGGTAGTGTAAACAGGGATTAAGAAAAACTTAAAATAACATTAATAAACAGGAAGTTTAGATAAGAAAAGCGATGGGATGGTCATTACTAAAAGAATTACCTGTTTATGATGGCCATGACAGAGACAAGGGTTAGACATATTTCTTTTGGATACAAAGCGTGGGTTTGAGCTTTTGAATGGCTGTTGCCTCGGCTATGCCTAGATGTCTTAATTTCACTCCCTTTGATAAGTTTGGTTGAATCTTGTATTTTACTTTGAAGAGTTTTTCGAAAGGCACTGAATGTCCTGAATTGGTGTCCTTTTACTAGCCAGGCTAGATAGTGTTCACGAGCGCGTTTTTTCAAGTGGGCGCATGGTATGGCCGATGTACTCAGTTCCACAAGACCAAGTAAACTGGTATATGCACTTTGAGGTGGCCCAATGTGACAGCTTGTCTTTTTCATTCTGGCTGAACAGTTTCTTGTACGAAAACGTCAGCCGTAGGCTCGCGGCGAAGTATGTTTTCCTCAGGGATTTGGAGAGGCATTTACGAAGGATTTCTGCTTCACTATCACCTTTGAATTCTACATTAAGCAGAAGTATTTTCTCAGGAACGGAATAGAATTGTTTGGAAGTCTTCTTAGATTTGAGATTCTTGTCTGTGAACCTGGGCGGGAAACCAATTCGCATCAGGGTTTTTCGGAGAATACGCAGTTCTTCTTCAATCACTTCCCGCTGCATATCTTCCAAATCCTCGAGGAAAGAGTGTATATCAGGTTCCTCTTTATGCTTAGGGGCACAAAGCTTTGAAATCTGATGAATTGTCCCTTCCATGTAGGCTTTTGGTATATGAACCTTTTCAGATAGTTGTTGGCGTTTCTTGTTAGATGCACATCGAGTAAGTGGAACATTCCGTCGAATTCAGTCTCAAGTGTAAAGTTGACGTTTGGGTGGGCGTTACTGAAGATTTGAAGTAGGTTTTTTAAATCACAATTCTCATTACAAATAATGAAAGTATCATCGATTTATCTTTTGTAGAGATGGAGGTTGTCAATAGTCAGTGATAAGGGGTTGTTTTCTAAGCTAGCTAGCTAGCTTGATACGCTAAGAAGACTGTCGGTTGATACGATGCGTCAAGTAGAGGCGTTCAAGTGGAACCCGAGTGGGAAACTATGTGTTAACCGGCATTTTGAGGGTGACATGTAGGCGATCGTGTGGAGAGTTGATGAAGGGCTATGGGCTATCGAGAATTCAGCAAAGAAGGACTGCATAGAGTAGGATAAAATGAAGACATGCTAATGAAGTCTTATAATAATAATGATAATAATAACTGATCGTAAATCCTTCGAAGCCAGAATGCTATTCAGCGAATAAATTTTACTTTATGATTGCACATTATGATCGGTGAATATATATATATATATATTTTAAGCAGTGTCACACATCAGTCTTTGAATGTATATCTACAAACGAGCGAGTGAGAGGTTATTATAATTACAACTGTATGCGCAATAACAATAATCTCAGACAAAATAGCATCACAGAAAACTAAGTACCCTGCAAAACTGGGCCGAGTGGTCAGTGGTGAAACCTGATTAGCTAGTTAGTTTAACTAACGTGGGTTCCAAGCGGGACATAGAGCTGTCCTCTTTACATGGCCTGCTCAACGATTCACCGTGTAATCTCTCATCTCCTCGTCCTCACCACCGCATTATCTCCTCCATGTCAACCTCGCACTGACGACCCACTCGTTGTTTCACATTAGGATTCCACTCGACAATGTCACTCAACGGTTTGCTCAATACATGCCCGATCAATCCATCTCCACTTTTTCCCACATATTTGCTGGTCTATCGACCGACTGCTGGTTAGTTTGTAGCCATAGCTACTTGTAACTAATTCGTCCTGGTCATTTGATCTTCAGTATATAGCCAGTAAAATGTGCAGCTGCTAATGAAAGCTGCAACAGGCTGCTGGAAGTACTTTTTGTGACACGCAGTGAAAGTTTCTGACTGGTATGGAAGCACTAACTGACTGATTTTACTTTGGGGTTGAAAATTTGAATCTTGTTGTTTGCGCTGGTTGACTGAGTGAGGAAGATTTCAACACTGGTTTCACGTTGATGAAGGCGTATCTTGCCTTTCCCGCTTATGGCTGACTTTGACTGGCTGTAGTTCAGACGATGCTTCCCAACCAGATATGTGAAGGAAGGATCTAACTTCTGTCAAATCTCTCCCCCTTGATGGTCGTTGATGCTGGTTGTTGTTGTTGTTGCTGTCTGTCACTCTTAGTTGGTTATCTTCACCCCCTTCGTCTCAACATTCTCCATGTTCACCTGGAGTCATGCCTTCGCTGCTTGCCAGCCTCTTCCGCCAGTTTGTTGACTTTCGCCTGCCTTTAAGTCTAAGAGTGTGTGTGACATTAAACATAAACCATCCACACGTCAAATCAAGATCTTCTAGAGTCTTCCTATTGGTCGTCCAGCGTACTCCTGTCTGCTCGCTCCCAACACACAGTCTGACGCATAATCCAGTCCAACAAAGTTAAGAATATCTTTGGTGATAATAGACAGCCAGCCAGCCAGCCTTTTCTTACTCCTTTATTGACTTTAGAGCCAGACTCCGCTGAGATTTCCGTTTTGGATCACCTGACACCTGGCATTACCATTTATCCAGCTGTCGAATGAGGTTGATGAAGATTCAGACAGTGTATATCGTGATGTTGCAGCAGTTTCCAAATTACTTCTCCGTTAACCCTGTCTGGAGGAGGCCTTTTTGAAGTCAATGGAGTTGAGGAGGTAGAGTAAGGTCTGACTGCCATCCTTTGCTCTGTTCGTAACGTATAGGTGATCAATATTTGTTTATTTTAAATTCTGACCAACAGACTATCCAACTAGTCTCTAGTTACACATAACAGCATCATCCTCTAAAGCTGTGCAATTAAAAATAGTATTTATTACAAACAGGAAACAATATATTATGAATGACTGACGCAGAGCTAAACCATGTCGACTTTATTCTTTAGGCAAAATAAAGAGATGAACTCACAAAAAGAGAAACTGTGCACTAATGTATGCTATCAAATCTCGATTCGATTCATATAACAAACTGAGACCAGCGATTTGAAGGAGTCAGTTGACAGAATGTCCTACAAGTCTAAGACTCCTAGCTCGTGGGCACTCGACAATAATGCTTGGATGCAGACTTGAGAAAAATTACGTTCCAAATGAAATGTAAGGCATCGGCAGCAATCTGTTCTCCACTGGTTCAACATTTGCCTACAGGCTCTAATTTCCTCCTGACGTGATCTCCTCAATATGAGCCTCACATCCATATTCATGTAATCGCCACTCATTCGGGGTTCACTAGGCGGATTTTTACCTGGCACATGATGTTGCTTTGTCTGTGTATTATCCATCTCCAATTCTTTCCACATATATGTTGAGCAACAGACTGTTGGTTGGTCCTCTGTTAGCCAGATTTCCATCATTGGTAAGCCCTTCACAATGGCGATCTAATATTAATTATGTAGAAAAGTGGATAGGGGTTGATGGAAGTCTGCAACAGCTTGTAAGAATTGCTTTTCATGAGACGCGAAGTCTCTCAACCATAAAGAGGGAGTGACTGATTTGACCCTAGCATTGGAGATCAGGATCATTCCCCTTGTGTTAAGTGCAGTATATTTCCACTAAAATCGACAAAATGCACCAATCAATGCCCTATTTATTGATTTAATTTTTCTGCTATTCAAGCCCCAGATAATTAATATATAGCGACCTAGAGGGATAAAAATACGTATTCACAAGGACCACTCTCCAGTTACTTATCCATACACAGACACAATTCAGTTCTATAAGAATTCTGTCGGCATGTGAGTAGAATGACAGTACAAAAACTTACTTCAGTATCACTAATTGATGAATTTTTTGATTACAGATGGAAAACGACTTTCTCTAGAACTGAACCATTCAATTCAGGATTCATAGTTAGGGATAAAAGAAAGGTGAGGACACAACTAAAGCCTTTAGTCAACGAGATGAGACCTTTGACCATGCAAGCCCTATACTGGAATTCATTGGCTCAGTACTGTTAACCCACAGAGACCGGTGCGTCCTCCCTATGCACACACAATCACAGGTAAACACACGTATATGAACAAAGCATTAAGAAGACAAATTTCGCGAGATGATATCATTTCGTAGTTTCTTTACAACCGCTTTACAACTAACATGGTTAACAATGGTAAAATAAAGTTCATGAAAATTACTCAGTTAAATAGAAACAAAAGTACATACTAATGACCAATCATATTTAGATAGGTCATGTATTCCAGGGTAGGCGAAGATTGAAGTCTATTGATTTTTGTACACACAGTTTAGGCTGTATGTGATTAATCCAAAGTGCTTCCATCACCTTCAATAACCTTGAATTAGAGTTATGTGAAATAATTGTGAAATAGTCATTAATATTTATTTTGTGACCAGACAATAATAAGTGTTTTGCAATGGATGATGCTGGATATGACTCGAATAACAAAACGGACGTGTTTTTGACTAAAAACGAACTTAGGACTTCAAGCCTGAGCTGTGAATTTTCAGTATCATTGCTGTTCTTTTCTTACGTAGTTGGGTTGCTAGCCTCTCATCCAACCTTCCCTTTTAATCAGGTTTCCTGGTTAAGTGAGGTTCATGAGTGCTTTGGCCGAGAGTCAGTTTTGGATCATGTGGTTGGTTGTAGGATATCCCAGCCACTGAACTATAAACAGTATCGTGCGTAACACTTTCACATTCAAAACCAAGTATCCCAAACGTGTTACTTTTACAAACTGTTTTCTTCTTTTCCCTTATATTTCCATGACTTCAAAAAGGGTTCCATTCGAAATTTCATGTTAACATCCAATCAAGACGTAATTAAATCTGAATTATCACAGTGTCCATCATGGATATTATCAAAATCGTTGAACAGAGATTCGCCTATACTAGTTGGTGTTTCAAATCTACCTCATATGCGGAGTCAATCTACGACTGGTTTTGGAAATGAATATATTTCACCTCTTAATAAAATGGATGCACCAAGTAAATGTAAGTGAAATTAGGCGATTTATTTGCTATTATTAAATTACCTCGCTTCTATTAAATGCATGATGCTGGTAAGGATTAACACTCGAAGTCAAGAGATGCCTCTTAGTCTTCAGCTAAATTTTCTGATTTTCGTGTGCTTCTATTTATGCAGTAATGTCTTTATCGATACCGACCAATAGATGTTACCTTGACGCGGTGGTTGATCTTACATATCCTAATGGCTTAATAAGCTCTACAGGCTGGAAGGAATGTGTCCTGCACGTCAGACCATTCCAGATAGGCTGTTTGGATAGCGGCTAGAGCGGTGGTTAGTCTTTTATACTATGTTGAGGTCGGAAGGCAACGCTGTACACCCGGTTAATAGGGATTTATTAGTAGTAAGGCATTTCTCTGAGTTTATAAGTAGGCTAGGCCTCTCCATTCTGTGGAGGGGTTTTAGAAAAGGCTGGCTCCTAGACTTGTACATTTCGACTTACCTAGCAGTGATTTATAGTCAATGGTAAGATACTGACACAACTCCAAAAATCGATTCAAACAGGCAGCCACTGGGACTTCTGGTCACACAGCACTAATGCTGCTTCTGTTTAAGCTACTGCACGGTTTGATTCTCCAGGAAGTAATAATTAAACCACCGACACACATTGCTAAAAGCACAGAAAGCTTTGGACTCTGTCTTTGCTATAACCGAAATTCATCATTCACTCTCTTAAAAAGATAATGAGGGTTATATTAACAAATCCAGGTATCGAACTAAGAGTTACTGTACTCGTACAGCACCCCTAGAGTATACAGACGTGGTGTTTGTTCCTTTCCAATGACATTCAGTTGTGAACTAGCTGTTGAAAATCCTCAGACCAGTGAAGAATGGACGGTTGGTTTGTGGTCTTAGAAAGGTATTTGAGTTTAATAACTTAACATAACAGATTTTAAGTCAATGTACTTTCGAAGTCGACGTCGATTTCAACAATTAAATCTTAAAGAAGACTGTCAGGTATACTGATGTTTCCATTTCTAGAAGCCTTCTTGTTTGACTTATTTTGTGATGATAAGTCGAGTAAACACCGTCTTATCGACAATAAAACACTTCAGTCCTGTGACAAATCCACTGACAAAATTTATTTAGTGAAAGGATGGTATGTGTTTTGAATTTGCTTTTATCTGATAAATGTGCAAAGATCATTTGGCAGAAATCGCATAGCTTCGTCGCCGTATTAAAATAATAATAATAATAATATAATAATAATAATCACTTTATTCTACAACAATAACAATTTACAGCATGGAATTTTCAGCGTTTCTTTTACATATTGCAATGGTTTAGCTCTGTTTATAATTATATAAATATATAAAATGTTAAAGGGAAGTTCTGATTCCTTTTCAAAGGTTTGATAGAATACAATACCAACGTAATCGTAAATACGCTTTTTCTGTCCACTACCAATCAAATTATAGGAATTTGAACTTCTGATCGACTTCTTTTCACCTTCTCCTATTCAAGAAGGAAACTGCAACGCACAGATGAGGATTTCAAAGGTGGAGTCGGTAAAGCAAGACAAGCAAGCAATTAATATGGAAGTCTACTACACTAAATATTACGAACAAGATCAGTATCTTCAAGCACTGCAGTGCTTGACGTATCACAACGACCATTTTCAACAGGCTGAACACTTTTATCAACACCTGCTCTGAATGATCGGATGCTAGATAACAGATAGCCAGAAACGATTGATAACAAAGACCTTGAGGAATAAATGGAACAAGAACCTATTACCCAACAAATCTGTGGAAGGTTTTAGAGGCAGATTGTACGCATTCTGAAGAGGCCACTGAGTGACATCATTACCCCAGACCATTGAGTAGAAACCGAACTGGGGACAATGATTTTGGGATAGAGTGATACGAAAGAGATCGTGTGAGGTGGAAATAAAAGCTTGTCGGCAGTTGTTTAGTCAGCTAACGAAGACTGCAGAGAACAGATTGAAATGACATTGTGCTGCTGGAACACTATGTTCTATGTAGTATCTATGTGTCCCAAAACGCGAGAAAAAAAGACAATCTGTCGCTCATTAGTTTTCACGGATTTTTCAGTTTCTATTAAAATAAAATAAGAGTAAATCTTTAAATCTTTTACTACAAGATTGTTTTATATCTCTCACTGTGCGGTACTGATATGTATCCGCATGATGTGTGTGTTTTGTTGTTGACAGTCTATTATATTTTGCTATGTGTATATGGATCGATATTTCATTATAACTGACAATATGCTTTTGTCTGTCCACTGACTAATTAAACAATGTATGACCTTGTTATCACATGACATTACAACCAATCATGTTAAGACTGGCTATTTATTGGTTCATGTGTATTAGCCATTTTCATATATACTTTTGTATTAGACCCTTGTTCATTCTCTTCTTGTGTTCCCACATTTCGTACACTCGTACCATTTCACTCACACTCTTGTGTGACATTTATTTTCCTTGTCTGGAAAATACAATTATCATCGTAAACCTGGTGGTCTTCTGATTTCCCTCTTTCCGTGGCGTCAGGACTAATAACTACTCAATGAGTACATAACAAGTACGGACCCTTTCTGCATAAACTAACAAGTTTCACTGCGATAGAGAACTGGACAGTTGTTTTGTCCTTGTTCATGACTCTTTGGAAGTACGCACCCAACTCCAAAGTGCGAATCCAAGACCTCCCAGTTGTAAGGCAGTCTAGTTGGCAATTTGGTCACCGGGACTCAACTCACTGGCCCATGAATTCTACCGGTCCGTAAATGACAGTGGCCGAAGGTCACGCAAAAATCACGAATGGGCTGAAGTTAGAGTTCATGGGCCATTGAGCCAGATTCAAGTGAATAAATCGTCTACGAGCTTGCCTTGTAACCAGAAAGTCGTGGGTTTGAACCACGGTAGTGTATGCATACTGCCAATGAGTTCCAAAGTAGGATGAAAAAGCTATTCAGTACTCTCGACTGGTTTTCAGTAGTTCTGTGAGTGATATCAATCCTTTATCAAAATTGAAAGAAATCAGAATCGGGTTCCAGCGGCTGAATGGTATACGAGCTTTCCGTGTAACCGAAATGTCGTGGGTTCGAATCCCGGTGGGTGCGTACTGTGGATGACTGCCAAACTAGGCTGAAACAGCTGTCCAGTACTTCCCGGTTTTCAATGGGTTTTTTTAAACTGATATCAATCTGTGATCAACTAGTAAAAATCAGATCCCTACAAACATATAAAAATTGTCACTTAGTCATAAATGATGACTGAAGGGGATCCTTTTTAACTGGTGTTACCTGAACAATTAGGTTGTTGCTCATTCGGCTAATCTACAAAGAACACCTGCTAACCAGTCAATAATTTATGGAAAGGACAAAATGAGTAGTGTTCAGCAAAGGGGCTCTTTTTGGCGAATTCATTTTTGTCTTTGCAGTACATTGGCATTTACGTACAACTTCTCACTGAAGAGGACAGTAAGAGAAGTGATAATTTGTCAAAATCTTAGGTTTTAAACATGAATCGATATGTCTTAGAGAAGTTTGACACGCGTATTAGAGTTACATAATGAGATAAATAATTTAATGATTGAGTTATCATGATAATAAGAGTTCTAGGACAATCTTCTTCTCTGTGAAGAACTCACGTTTCTCTATCTGAATGGCTAGAGCTTCAGCTTTACACACAGGAGACCAAAGTGTTTTCTTTCTTTAGCAAGTTATTCTTCACTTTCTAGACTATTTTGAAGAAAGACTTTGTTGAAATGAAATGACTAGTGTTGACAAAGGTGTTCAGATGTTACAGACGAAATTTTAGGAAAGCTTATCCATAAGAAATCTACAAAAGGTACAGTTAAATGACACTACTTACTTTTACTTTACTTCGGCTATCTCCTACGGGAGGATGAGCCGGCTTCATGAACAAGAGAGTTCATGAAGTTTCATGGGAATTTGATACGAGTGATGTTCCCAGCATCGCTCGGCCTTTTGTTTGAGAGTGCAGCTCTAGCCTTTACACAACCAAGTGTGACCTACAAGGCAGTAGGAGTGGAGTAGGGAATCCACTATCCATTGGAAGCCAGCCGGTGACCGGAGTCCGGTTCATACGCCTTTTTGAATGGGGCCAGGCATCCAGGACATCCAACAAGCCCTTTGTCCATACGTCTGCCGGTGAGCTCCAGTGAGTTTCATACGCCAGTCGTTGGAGGTTTGGAATCAGGGTTTAGCCATCTCCCCTAGACTGTCATCCAATGGACAGTCAACCCGATGAAGAGAGCCGGGCATCCGCTTTCGCCCTCTCACTTCGGTGGAAAAAACACCTCCACCACGTGAAGGCAGTGAGTAGGACTTCCTCAGGAGAGGCTATGTAAGACACCTGGTCATATGGGAGCATTTCAAGAGGTGTGCGGAGGGGTGGCCAACCCGCAGCACAAAGCACCCACCCCCGACCATCCTGAGGCTTTGGAGGCACGGTTCTCCAGTTGGGTGCTTACTGAGCGAACTGAAATTTGATTAATTCCTCTGCCATTCACATCCAGTATATCTCCGGCCCTGATGCCTCAGAAGAAAAACCAGATCTTCTATAGGAAATCTTCAATCAAAATAGATAACTGCCGTTAATAATCATTGACAAGATATCAAACTGAAATTTTGGAAAGCGCAAAAACTGAAACTTTATATATGAATTTTGATTTTAAGGGTGACTTAAACTGGGATTCCCATCAGAGAAGAATCTCATCATCTTCAAGAGGAACATTTTTCTCAGTAACGCTAAGAGCAATGTTCTCCCAGCTGTCGTCTGAATTAAAAAGATACATTACCGTTCGTTTTGTCCACTCAATAATTGACCGGCTAGATTTTGACCTGGCCAAACTAATCATACTGAATTATAAGTATAGGTACAAGCAGGTTATCAATGCTCCATCAACTCAAGATGAATACAGATTCACTATCAGTTGGCAACTTTCATATTAACTAATGTTTTGGTGGCACAGGGATAAAAATGCTCGCCAACCAGGCCATATATGGTTCCAGATTCGATCTCCAGCCGACGCGGCACTTCTTTAACCTCGTTAAGCCGTCAATAAGACCGATAAAGAGGGAAGGATTGGACATGAGGCAGCTAGCAACCTCTTATGCCGTAGAAATCAATGTTTAAACTTAAAAACTCTAGCTCGAAGACCCCTACGCTCCACTGGGAACGTAAAGCAAGGAGAAAATTTTTAACTGATTACCTTCTGTACACATCTATTGGCTTATCAACTCAGAATTGCAAGTTCTCTCTAACACGTTGATTCTTCCCCTTTCCGTCTTTTTTTTTCTGTCTTCTGTGTTCTAGTTACAAGTACAATCAATGAGCTATACAGTATGTTGAATATACAAAAACAAGCTATTGAAAGTTTAATGCAACAGGTAAACCTTTATTTCATTTTATCGTTTCATGTATGTGTGTGTGACATCTGCGCATGTGTATTTGTAGTAGTGAGGTGATTAGTGCTCACTTCTCTTCATTCTTTGTTTTATTCCAAGTGGAATATAGAGGCTCAGGCTTGAGGCAAAGTAATTTCATTAGCAAATGGTATTAATTTTAACGAGGAGAGGTTTAGTCTCATGCTAACAAAACCTCCTCGCTTTTTCAAGCTTAGTATAAGTTATTGGTATTATATGGTTGAATGCAATCGGCCACAGGAAGCCTTGGACACCATCTAGGTTTTCTACTAGGTTTCTTGACACTCATCAGCCAGTAGGGTGTATCGGCAACCACCTTGAAAGAACTCAAGTCGCTTCTGAGATTCAAACCCGCGTCACCCAGTGCTACCTGCAGTCAGAGGCGTTACCATTGAGCTATTCGTGCTCGCGATAAATGCCAACTAGCACAAAACCCAGCTGCTATCCAAGGCTTCCTGTGACCAATTGCCTCCAACCATCTAATACCATCAATTCACAGTGCACCGTGATGGCGAGCCACCTGTTGCTGGCATGGTGGCCACATTGCAAGCTTGACTGATAGAATTTAGTCTGCACCGAAGATGAGACTAGACACATTACACTAGTTATTGACTAGTATCGAATCAAAAATTAGTATAGGTCAATAAATTAGACAAGGCTTAGGAGTGCCTGGTTGGATTAAGGGAGGCAAAAAAAGAAACCAAAAATAAGAAATTATTTAGAACCAAAAACCAAACTTCCATAAAAACCAATTAAATTAAAAAATTTTTTAAAAAATTCCGGCCTTTTTTTTTGCCAAAGAACCCCTTTTTGGGGGTTGGGGGTTAAGGTTTGTTGGGTTAAAGGGTTTTGGGGGTGGGGGGGGGAAAAAAAAAAATAATTGGGGGAAAATTTCCAAAGGGAAGGACCGGTTGGGTTGGAAAAAAAAAAGGAACCCCCAAAGGAACCAAGCCCCAAAACCGCTTTTTGGGGGGGGGGGGGCGCGTGCCTGGTTGGCATATTAAGGGTTAGGCCGTGAGAAAATATGAACAAGGCTGAGTCAACAACCAATCACAGCAAAGTTAACGTGGCAAAATATGATTCGCAGATAGAGAACTCTATTTGTCAAGGAATCCCGAAACAACCAATCAGAAGCCTGCGTTTGTCTACCTAACTTCTGATAAACAACCAATCAGATGACTGCGCTTGTCTATAATAATGTAGTTGAAATATGTATAAATACGTGTTGATTTTCATAATAAAACGATCTGTTGCCTGGCCCTTGTCTTCTGTTGTTACAGGAGTACATCGGCCGACCATTGAACCTAAGGATCCAAGGTATGGGTGACGTGTATTTTACCACAGAACCACCTATGCTTTACAATGTTAAAACGCAACATATTAAAAGTTGCTTTTGAATTTATGTATTCCACTATTTGTGAACTGATGTACAGCCTGGTTGAAGATAGTCAACAGGAAGCCTTGAATATAGATTCCATGTTTGTTAACATCCTGATACTAGCTCGGAAATTTGATCCTGCATTACCTAATGAGCACAATCAGAGTCAATTCCGATGAACTATTCAGATTGACAAATGACCTCCTGAATATACTGATTGGTCACTATGGAGTAACCTACCTTATTAGTCTCTTCTCCAGCCTCAGTGGATTGCTGTATGTCTTGGCATCTTAGTGTACTTAGTTTTCATGTTAGGTCGATAATAAACTCCTGAAATTGATCCTCATGTTTATGCAGACTCATCAAGTAGAAGTACATGAAACACCGACCGGAATTATACTATTTTTTATCAGGGATTTGATACTTTTGTCTACTGAACACTTTTCACTATATGTGTAGGGGTCAAATAGAGTTAATTTTCATCGCTTCACAAAAACCATCTTAGAACGCAGTTGTTTTATTGATAGCTTAAGCATTCCGTTTATTTTTGTAGATCTTAGAGCAAGAATGCATTAAGATGTAGAATTATTGAGTGACAGAAGACCTTGGAAATTCTGTTAAAGAAAAATATCGATTTCTACTCATATAACTATGTTACTAATACAAATGGATCTTGACTATCATCACTTAATAGGCACAGACCAAATCTTGCATTGGTGGCCTGTCTGATTTCGGCACAGAGTAAAGCGGATTCGGATTCCCGAGGAGATAGAAGTATCGAGAAGACTTCAGATAAGTCTTAATGATAAGTGATAACAAGCGTGAGATACAATTTCAGGACTGTCTATCAACTGCTCGCAACCAGCTGACACCACCACAGAGTGCGTTTCGACTACTAGTCACACACTACAAGAGTGACTGAGAGAATTCAGTCAGGAGAACGACTAGCCAGTGTCGTCAGTGATTATCGTGAAATGACAGAAGTTGGTATTCACGGATCCATTAAATCACAAGGTGCGTACTACTGATGAGTTCCGAACCAGGATGAAATAGAGATGTCCAGTACTCCCTGATGTTTTTTCCAGTGGTTCTCTACACGATTTCAGGTGATGATAAAATCCTGTAACCAATCAAATCCCTTAAAAACCAACACTTAAACAGATATGGATCGCTGATATTCGGGTTTCCACTCAGTATCATATAGCTGGATCTTCTCATCCTGATCACCATCACCACGTGCCGAAATTAATAAAGTTCCAGGAACTGAAACACCAAGATTTTGACTTCATAATCAATCCAGTACACTGAAGAAATGTTCGGCACTGAATGGAAACAGGCTCCTGCTTTAAATCGAGAATAAATCGACTAAATGTAGCCATTTTAGTGTGAGTTAAGGTATGAAATGCGGAAAAAATCAGAATCTAAGGAGGGAAAACAGCTTCCTGTGTGATTTTGAGGCGGAGACTGAGTTGGTTATATATCGTGTTGCTGAGTAGTGGAGCGATTCGACAGCCACATAAGCTGTCACTACTCCATTCAAGATTCTTTTTGAAACCATCACGCAATATACTACTTACAGATATCTGTTATCAGTAAGCGCTGTTTGATTATATATATATATTCATGTAAGTTATCAATATTTTTGAATTTATAGGTGTCTGAATTAAACATGAAAGTTGCATCCCGTGAACAATGTCTTTGTATTCCAAACTGTGGAAAATCTCCAAATGGGATACCCTATTTGATTGGCAATACATGGAAACCTGATGCATGCAGTGAATGTGAATGTACTGTGAGTGATTTTGAATGTAAAACCTTGTGGATATTTCTATTCTTGTGATTAAATTATGTAACACATAAAATTACAATAAAAAAAAATCCAGTGTAGATCTTTTCACTAGTCACGAATTGACAGCAGTCGGTGAATCCCTGCCCAAGTAGCTGGATGGTCAGTGAGTCTGCTTTCGTAACCAAAATATTCCAGATTCGGTCCCTTGTAGGGTCATGTTTGTTCTTTTCTGAAGATTCCCAGGATTATATGGAACGGCTGTCCTATTTCTCCTGGTTTACGATGCCTATCCGTCTGATGTTGCTTCTTGACGGAAATCCGACAATCACAAGTAATCCAAAGTCCCCATAAATCTTATGCTGTCAAGGAACTTATTTGCGAAGACACTCCGAATCGACCGATAATTACTGTGAACGATTATCGACCTTAACTCTAGAACACAAGGACTTGTATTAAGTTATACTGTTCGGCAATTAAAATCGATATTGGTACAAGGTCTATAAACAAATGTTTTACAAGGAATGTATTGTACTTTTATTCGTATTCTTTCGTCTGCTTCCAACTTGTACGCGATTAAATCATTCGCGCCTTCGAGTTGCCCGCCAATGGGGACCAAGGTCAATGAACCAACGTTCAATGTTCGCATTCATTTACACTCCCCGGCCAAAACAGGATCCATCCCTTTTTTCCATCATGGCGATAACCTTGAAATGAAATACCAACATGGGAGCCTGGGCCAACCAGGACCAGGCTAAAATGGAAAAAACAAGACAAAAAAGCCCAACACGCAACAAGCATACCATAACCCACCAGTACACTATCCCTGGCGTGCAGGATCTTCCATTCGCTCTCTGTCAACAGTACCACCAGTGGTCTGGTCCTCAGGGTGTTGGTTGTTTCAAGTCACTCTGACACTCTTTCTCTCCCCTGGCGTATTGAATCGCGTACAATGACTCTAACACCACTTGATTCATTCACAATTGTAGAAGACTAGAAACGACTTCAGAAGTACATACAATAACATTACAAGATGATTCGCACAATGTGACAACTATAAAATTAACCAACATTTAGAGGAATTGGAACCCAATCTAGTACTTAACACAAATATATGTATAATCAATACATCATATGTTGTGGATTCCGCCCTGACGAACTACTCTTAGGGAATTATAGGACTTACAGCAGTACGCCTACAACCCTTCTCAGGTTGACGATCCAAGTGGAGAAGGTCGGGACACAAACAAAATTATCAACAGATAGATGAGAGATGGTACCAATTCAGTATATACAACATGAACAAATGTACAAAATAACACACCAAGTACGATGGACTGCGCTTCGATGTACTACCTACCCTTGAAGAATTGTAGGACTTACAGCAGTACGCCTACTGCCCTTCTCAGGTTGATGCCCTTGGCTGGAAAATCGTTGCAGAGTTCATTTGCTGACCTCATTCTATCATCTATATCCTCAGCTCTGAATGCTGACATGCCTATGACATTGTATCGTGAAATATAGATGATTAACAAATATACGACGCATCACACAGCAGTCGGAATCACCCATATCAGTGTAAAGTGGATGATGGTCACCCCTTATCACGCAAGTGACTTGAATAACAGTCTCTAATACTTAAATATTTCTATCTTTACACTTTGAAGTAAATCATTTTAGGAGAAATCACGCAAAGACGAAATTTAATATTTGTCACTCAGTGATTATGATTCGTGCAATCCATAGATGTCGTAATCAATACCCCTTCAAATAAGTATCCAATTTACTTCTAATGGAATAGGATTTTAAATTTTTTTTTCAAATAATCCATTCCTCGTTTCTTCTTCTCTCCGAACAGTTAGCAGGTGCGTTATGTACTCAGAAAAAGTGTCCCATATTGAATTGTACAAATTCTATTAGACTACAGGATGAATGCTGTCCGCATTGCCCAGGTAAGGAAAAATGCATAAATGTACAAATATTTTTTTACCTGATCTTCACTCTTCATAATAATCACAATGTTACTGATATATTGAATGAAATGAAAACATGATCGATGGGATTAGAACTAGAAGTTTCGAGTTCTGTATGAAATCAGCTAGGAAAACTAGATTTAGTTCTTAGGGACCTGATTAGTTTCAAATCTGATCATGAACGACCTCTAGATGTTCATCGGTGGCACAGCGATAGAGTGCTCATAAACTACGCTGCATGTGGTTCGGGGTTCCACTCCCGGCCTACGAGGCACTCCTTTACCTCGCTAAGCCAGTAATAAGAATGGTAAGGAGGGAAGGTTAGACATGAGGTGGCTATCCACCCCATCCCGTAAGAACAAACACAACTGTTACCGAAACTTCAAGCCTCTATCTTGAAGCAGCCCTATGTTCCACTGGAAACATAAAGGAATAAAACGAATACCTCTAGCTACAGAATCATTGAAAACCAAAGACCGCTGGATGGCTGTTTTGACTTCGTTTGAGACTATTCAGAAGTAGGCACACACTGCCCCACCCACCTGCGATCAAACCCAGGGTCTTCAGGTTGTTAGGCGAATTTCTTTGTCATTCAGTGATTGTGTTAGAATCCATTGTCAGGTCCATGAATTTGAACCTCTCCCAATACACAATATGCAGTGCAAGCATCAGACTAATTCCCGATTTTTAGTTTGTAGGCATTTGATTGGTCCCGAGTGGGATCACCATTTGATATCAGTTAGAGAAGTATTACAAACTATGGACCATAGGTCATTTTGTTTCATCCTTGTTTGAGATTCCTTAGTAGTAATCATCCATGGCTCCAACGGGGGTCTTTATATCATGCTAAATCAGAAAAGAAACGTGATTTTAGATTTGAACGAAACCAGTCAAGATGGTCTTAGACTTTGCAACGATGACTGGTGTATTCTTTGATAAGCAAAGTGAGATAGATGCTAACCAGGTTAACCAGTTGGTCCTTTAGTTATTTAGATAGTATTCTTAACTAGTTTGCAACATGGTTACCATACCAGGTGGCTTGCCATCGTGCTGTACTCTAAATTAGCGTTAGATGGTTGAAAGTAGTCGGCAGGAAGACCTGCTTGACCTAGGTTTCCTTGTTTGTTGGTGCTTGATAGCAAGGCGTATCTTAGTAACTAAAGGAGTCGATGTTCCCCTCCTCTGGATTCGAACCCGTAACACTCAGTGTTGCAGTCAGAGACATCACTAGGGAGCTATTCAGGCTCACAACTAGTCATCTGTAGGACTATAATACGCACATTGACTGGTAACTAGAGAGCGGTCAATATCGTGTTAATTGCCTACAGCCATTTAACAATCTGGTCAGTATTTACAAACCCACTGAAGTGTAGAAAAGCCTAGTAGGATCACATACTTAGCACGATACATTCTACATCAAAATGTCAAACGTATAAACTTTTATCCGATTAAAAAACGTGAGCGAATATATTCGTAGGATAAAAACAAAGTTCACATCAATTTATCAGCTGTCTATAAATTACACAAGTTATCGTAAATAAATATATTAATTATATAACATACTTTGGAACATTTTTTTTTTAAATTGAAGGGTAATTAATAGTCATTAGCGTAGTAATGGAATCTAAGGCATAAATACAAAATAGTTGATAGTTGATATTATCAAACAGTCAGATTAAAATTTCGTTGGTAACGAGGACAAGAAAGAGGTTTAAATATAAGGTAGAGTGAACAGATATGGTTAGTCAGAGTAAATATCATTGTGGTTTTTTCTGTATGAATTAGCATCAGTTAAGGAAGCATTTGAAATCAGAGAGAAGTGGACAGCTGTTTCGTCATAGTTTGAGATTCTTCACCAATATGCACCGATGAAATTACCAGGGATAAAACCCCGGGCCTTTTGGTTTAGGATGTGAGTCTGTTCACTATTCTACCACTTGAGACAGAGCTCAGTAGCCTCACCTGAAATTGTGGATTCTAAAAACTGGGACCTCAGGACATCCATCCCATAATGGTCAATGAGTTGGAGATTGATTGTAGGAGTTCAGATTAATTTCAATGAATATTCTATAAGCTATTGCAGCAACAATCAAATACATAAATGAATGCAACTCAGTAAATGAAATCTGTGTGGGTAAAAAAAGTACAAATAGATTCAGTTACGGAAGGATTGGTAGTTACACACTGTCTTTAGGTTTGTAGAGGTTACATTGTAAGTCTTTGTCTGAAGTGACATCTGAGAGACGTCGTAAGTGAAGTATTCCTGTGTATACTGACCATGATGAAGGCTTCATTGGTTTCAGCTGTATGCCGTGTACAGATCAGTTGTATATCGTTTGCACTCGTAAACGCTTGCTTACCTATCAGGCTTAGATGATATGGAATGTAAATATGCTCGTTCTTGTCTTGTTCCGACTAACAAACACAGCTGGATTCATGAAATTCTCTCTAATAAGTTTTCTGAGGTTAATTTCTATAAACAGTGGGTCAAAAGATTTCATCCTGTAATAAAAGTAACCTTATGAACTCGGCAACGGTTTGAAAAATTTGATATTTAAGAAGATATAATGTCAGGTAGAATTCAGTCAGCACAAATAAACACTTGACATACAACACTGGTCATACACAGGTGACCAATTCCTGTCCAATTAAATTTCTGGAAGACGTCAGTAGCTAATAAATTATTGATAATATCTCTCACTTCACCACTGGATGGTGTAAACATGAATCACTGAAAGAACCTCAATCTCTTCGAGCTTGCAGAAACGTCTTGTTGACGAGTGCTTGAAAGCTTAACGAGGTCACGATTTTCTGTCGATTACATCTAGCCAGTTAGTATCACTTCAAAGTTCACCATAGTGGCAGTCAACATAAAAAATCGACTGAGAGAGGACAAGCTTAAGGAAATCAGAACTACCCACAGAAATGCAGAAAGACATTCATTATATGCAGGAAAAAAGCCCTCGGGGATGCCGGGGAATCATCCAGTGTTTGGTATGCAGGTATTTGATTGGTTTTAGGTCTGATGTCGAGCTGATGTAAGTTAAAGAAATATTTGAAAGCCGGGAGTACTGGAGAGCTGTTTCGTTCAAGTGTGGGACTCTTCATCAGTACACGCTTATAGGGGATCAAACCCAAGCTTGCGGACCATTCAACCACTGAGACCTGATCCAATGGTCACTGAATTGCCTACGAGCTCGCCTTTTTTCTTGGAGGTCCTCAGTTCCATCCTATTTGAGTTGGTACTACTGAAAAGTCCCGAACCCGGACGAAACGGCTGTTCAGTATTTTCCGGTTGTATGGTGGTTCTGTAAGTGATGTCACCTAGTAATCAGACGTGATGGTAGGTAACTGCACGAATCTTAGTAGTCAGCTTAATCCAACTGCTTCCGGTGAACAAGCTGTGCCTACACAGCGTAACACTTGAAAAATTTATGGTATGATATTCTATTAAACAATATCGGATTATTTTAAACATTTTCGCTTTTAAAATGCCGCCTTATTTTAAAGTATTACATTATCTAAAACATTCTAATTTAATGGAAATTGTCCATTTTTCGCTTTATGTCTTTCATATTTAGCTAACTGTCATTTCATGGGTCAAGTATATCCTCATGGAGAAAGTTTACTGCGAGGTTGTATTCAGTGTGTATGCATGGTAAGTTGAACTGTGTATTTCCCGCCATCGGTGGTCTGTTTTGAATTGCTGCGCTCCCTAAATTTCTATTCAGTATAATATTCTCTATTTCATACTGTTTTAATCATCTTTAGTATGCTTTTTGGATAGCAATATCCACTCATGTAAATCATAAGTTGATCACTATTTTAAGCTGGTTCCTATCATTCCCTCTGTCCATTTAACCATCACTGAGTCTTTTCATGGATATATTCAGGCAGTGGAATTCACCTTATTGTTCACATAACATTGTGAAATAATTATTCGATACACACTGTTAAAGTTTAACAATAATTTATAGGCGCGGTTCATGTCCTAGCAAATTAGGAATGTTAGATTACTTATTATTATTATTATTATTCCCTTGTGTTCCAAGTGGAATCTAGGGCTTCAACAACACATCTACACTTTGTTCTGTTTTCTAGCGTCCCCTTCAACTGGGTCTACAATTGATCAAACTCTCTTATCTCTTCCTCACATGATCTCCTCCACAATAGCACTGACGAGCCTTGTCACTTCCCATTTGACTTCCACTCGAGCAATCGCCTGGCGTGTGATGTCATTCGGCCGCCTACTCAATGTACGCCAGATCAGTCCATCTCCATTCACTCCTACATATATTTGCTGGACGGTCGGCTCTCATCCTTTGATTTTTATTCCCACAGTTTCTTGCTGCTTATTCTTTCTGGCCATTTAATCTTTAATATGAAGCGAAGGCAGCTGTTGATGAAAGTCAGTAACCTGGTGGAAATTCTTTTCGTGACACACCACGTTTCTGACCCATATAGAAGAAATGACTGACTTGACATTGGGGCTTAAAATGCGAATCTTGTTTCTTGTGCTGAATGCAGAAGATTTCCAAACCTGGAATCAGACTGATGAAGGCGTATCTTGCTTTTCCGATTCTGACTATGGCATCTTCATCCGTGCTGCCCACCCCGCTTTAGTTGAAGCGATGCTTCCTAGCCGGATAAGTGAAGGAGGTAACCTCTGTTAAATCTCTCCCGTTGCTGGTGAGTGACTGGTGCTGGTTGTTGTTGTTGTTGTTGCTGCTGCTGTTGGTTGGTTATCTTTATTGCCTCAATCACCTGTGTATTCACCTGGAGTCCTATCTTCGCTGCCTCTTCAGTCAGTTTGTTGGTTGTCACCAGCATACAAGTCTTTGAGTGTGTGTGTGTGTGCGACACTAGGCATAAAACATTCACGAGTTAAATCCAAATCTTCTACAGTCTTCATATCGTTGGTCCAACATAGTCCTTTCTCCGCGCTCCACAAGCACAGTCTGATGCATAGTCCAGTTCACCACAATTAGGGAATATCATCGGTGATAATAGGCATTCAGCTAGCCTTGTCTCACTCCTGTATGTACTTCGAACGCCTTGCTGAATTTTTCGTTGTGGATTACTTGACAGATGGCATTATCATTTAGCTGTTGAATGAGGTTGATAAAGACTTGAGGTACGCTGTAGTGTTGAAATAGTTTCCAAATTACTTCTTGATCTACCCTTTCTAAAGGCTTTTTCAAAGTCGGTGCAGTTGAGGCTGTGAGAAGTTTGTCTGCTATTCTATGGTTTGTTCTGTGGTGACAATGCGTGCAGTTGCAATTCGATCAGCACATGGTTAGCTTTTCCTGGATTCAGCTTCTTACAGTGGGTGGAGTTCTGTATCCATTGCATCCTTTATTCTCTACAGGATAATTAAGAATGTATCATCCACATATCAAAGCGCAAAACGATTTCACATGTACAACATCTCAAAGTGTATCCCTATTGCGTATAGTCATTTTTTTGCAAAAATTACTAAACTTTTCTACCTAACAGTCTAATCTGGGCTTTTTCCATTATCTTGTATTACTTTTTTAGAATGGTACAATGAAATGTCGTGAAATCAATCAAACTTCATACTGTCCACCACTGAATTGTAGTCAAAGTGAACAAATTCAACCAGCTGATAGCTGCTGTAAAATATGTCGTAGTAAGTTTTCCTGTGATGATTAAGAAATATACAAAGTACTGATTTTGTAAGGATTGTGTTTGGATAGTTGAAGGATTTTATCATGAGCTGATATCAATTAGAAAACTATTGGAAAACCACGATAGAGTACTGGACAGCTGTTTCGTCAGTGTAGCTTAGGACTGTTCGTCAGTACGCACCCACATTGCGGGGTCCGAACACAGGACCTTCTGGTTACAGGGCCAACGAGCTAGCTTGTAGACCATTAAGCCACTGGGACCCAATCCGATGGCCAGCCAATGGATTCTAACTTCTGCCAATTCTTGGAATAGCGCGACCACTTCGCGATGTCTTCTTCAGTGAGTTACTACCTCACCTTCTACCTGTTTCACCCTATTAGTCATGGCTAAACTCAGATTTCGTTCTAGTTGGCACTCATCAGTCAGGAAGGCGTATCTAAAACACTGAAGGAACTCATGTCCCCGTCTGATATTCGATCCCGTGGCATCCACTGCTGCAGTCAGAGACGTTACCACTGATCTATTCAAGCTCAAGATCAGTGACCAGTAGACTGCAGCAGTTGAAGGTGAAGCAGTAACTCATTGAATAATAAACTACGAAGTGTCCAAAATAAGCTATGTAATTGTCAGAAGTTGGAATTCATGAAACTAGCCATTAGATCAGGTCCCAGTGACCTAATATTCTACGAGCTCGTCTTGTAACCAGAAGGTTCGAACCCTATTGGTGGGTGCATAAAGCAGAAGAGTCCCCAAATCGGTTGACGAAACCGTTGGCTGTCAAGTACTCCATTGGGAGTTTTCCAATGGTTCTCTAAATGATGTCAGCTTATGATGAAATCCTCCGACCAATTAAATGTACAAAGATTTAATGAGGCTAGTATTATGCCTGTGAGATTCAAACATTTTCTATTCTTCTCAGGATTTAAGTGCTAGTGAAGACATATTGAATGTTATTTCTCGGTGAAATACTACTGAAGGTGACACCTAGACAAGTACTGAAACCTCAACAGTAACAAAATCTGTCAACTGAAATTATTCCAGAACTCCCGAAACTTTTATTATCTCAGTATCTTTTGCCAGCCCACTAATAGCTACTGCGTGAATTTCCTAAAGCTGCAGTAGAAAGTCTTGGCCACTGGCGCCAATCATGTCAAGGTAAAGTGGATGCCCACCTTAGTGAACGGTGGAGGCAGCCCTATATCAAGAGATAACAAAGGTAGAGTTCTAGGGTCACTGAATGGTCACTCAGCCAGGCTTTATAGCCTGAAGGTCCCGGGTTCAACCCCTGGCAAGCTGGATGGCAGAGGCACACCATTGAAGAGTCCCAGAATGGGACGAAACGACTGTCTAGGGATCTTTTTCAAGGATTTATTCTGCACCAAAAAATAATTAGATACATTACACTAGTTACTGAGTAGTGTCCAAACAAAATAAAGAGAAACTCTAATGGACAACAAACCAATCCAGATCCTTTTTGCCCAACAAATATTCTGAAGGGATTGGCGATAGGCTGGATAAACCCTGAGGAGACCGGTGAGTGACACCACGCACTATTCAGGAAATTGAATGGATCCCGAACTGGAAACGACTTGTTGTGTATCACTTCGAAGGTGGTATGAAGTATATCGTGAGCGAAGGCGATAGAAGCTTGTGGGCAATCAATCGTATAATGAGCTAACAAACAATTTAGAGAGCACGATGAAATATGAATGTGGTTTTGAAGGTCTTTATTTCACTTGGAACCTCAAGGGAAGAATAATAAGCTCTTCAAGGACTGTCAGCAACTTATTATGTACTCAGCGCAAAGGTTATAGATTACCAAGGAGATACGAGCTAGTCAAATTATTAAAGTTGAATTCGTTCTTATGACAATTACAACCTCTCTACAACCAGTTAATATGCACACTTATCCATAATTATCATTGTACATGTTCTTTTTTTTATATTCACTCCAGAGATTAATGTTTGCGCCCACAAAAATAATAAATGTCATCCACTGGCAAAATGTATCCAAAATGGTATGGCATATCGCTGTGAATGTCCCACCGGTTATTCCGGATCTGGTGATCTTATCACTGGCTGTACACGTAAGTTAAGTTGGATTAACTATGAATTTGTCTTTCGTAATCTCATCGCGCGGGATTGGATGAAATGCATATAAAATTAACGGAAGATAATTGATTCTATTTGATTGATATTTAATATATTAATAGCCTATCTTTAGACTCATTGGATGCACAACTCCGACCAGAACAAGTTGGATTCAGAAAAGGCAAATCATGTTCTGACCAAACTGCAACTCTACGCATCATCATCATCACAGAACAAAGCATGGAATGGCAATCAAACCTAACTCTACCTCAACTTTATAGACTTCGAGAAGGCCTTTGACAGACAGCGTTTACCGCGAAATAATTTGGAAACTACTCGAGTACCATTACAGCGTACCCCAAATATCCATCAATCTTATTCAACAGCTGTACGACAACGGCACATGTCAAGTGATCCACAACGGAAAATTCAGCGAGGCGTTTGGAGTAAACACAGGAGTCAGACAAGGGTGCTTATTATCACCAATGATATTCCTAATTGTGGTGGACTGGATTATGCGTCAGACAGTGAGAAACCAGAAGTCAGGGATATCCTGGACCGACGTGAAGAAACTAGAAGACCAGGATTTCGCGGATGATTTATATTTGATGTCACACAAAATAGAAGACTTACAAGTGAAAACCGACAAACTAGTCGAAGAAGCAGCAAAGACACGACTTCAGGTGAACATAGACAAGGCGGAGGTTATGAAAATAACCAACAACAACAGCCACATCCAACGCTAATCACCAGCAACAGGAGGGATTTGAAAGAGGTTACTTCATTCACTTATCTAGGGAGCATTGTATCAACCAACTACAGAAGGAACGGACAAGGATGTCAAATCGAGCGAGAATCGGAAAGGCGAGCAAGAAACACATTCATCAACCTGAAATCAATCTGAAAATCTTCGTCATTCAACCCAGCATCAACAACAAAATCCAGTCGGATTTTCAATACAAACAACGTCAAGTAAGTTCTCCTATACGGATCAGAAACTTGGCGGGCGGGTCACAAAGAATATTTCTAACAGCCTGTTGCAGACCTTTATCAGCAAAGATTGTCTTCGGTCTATACTGAAGATCAGATGGCCGGGCCGGAAAGAATCACCAACACGAAACTATGGAAACAAACAAAACAAGAACCAGTCATTCGCCCAACAAATATGCAGGAGAAAGTGAAGATGGATTGGATACTCGCGGCTGAACAGGCCACTGGGTGACATCGCGTGCGCGTCAGGCCATTGCTCGAGTGGAACTAGGCCGAAAGGGAAGCGGCGAGTGGGACGTCAGTGTGAGGGTGACGTGGAGGAGATCGTGTGAAGAGGAGTTGAAACAGTATGGACTAACTAACATGGATGCAGGTGAAAAGTACAGCGGAAGACAAAAGCAAGTGGGGACGTGCAGTTGAAGCCCAATATTCCACTAGGAACCCAAGGGAACAATATCATATATATATCGCCTACCTTCTCATCACTACCTGTACAGTAATATGTAGAGCTTCTTTTAATAACCCAAGCTGAAATTATGCTAAATAGGTGTCACTTTCAGAGTCTGAAATCGTCAGAAAGTAATCTCAGAAGCAAGAATGAAATCAGAACAACTGCAGTTGAATCCATTTTCGTAGACCACATCGAAAGAGAGTAGGAATGATTTTGAAATTGAACTGTATACCATAAGAAAAGATTTGGCATTGATTCCTAGTTCAAGAACTGGGATGATATTCATTTATTCAGTCCCCCAGTTGCTGGAGTTATGGGTTTGTAAAGCTGATGAATCTGTCTGAAAACAGCTACACAAGAAAGACATTGTGAAGTGGTCACACTGGGTCAGAAGTAGGCCGAAGTCAGAATTCATGGGTCCCAGTGGCTTAGAGAACTACCAGCTCTACAACCTTGTAACCAGAAGGTCCTAAGTTTGAACTATTCAGTGCGAGTGCGTACTGATGAAGAGTCCCAAACTAGGCTGACAAAACGTCTGGCTTCCCGGTACTCCCTGGCTGGTTTTCCAATGGTTCTCTAACCGATATCAACTCATGATAAAATCCTGCAAATGATCCTTAATAGTTATTTCATGCCGCTTAGGTTCCCAACACATAAGAATTCAGCGTGAATAATATTCATTATGTTTCAGTCATGACAATGAAATTCTCAATTTATTAATTAAGAAATGCGAGGTAGGAATTCGCCTTGGTTCCCTTTTTGAAAAACTAGAATATTCACATTACAATTGATTATCTGTTTAACACATATCCATGCGACTTTGTAAAACAAAATGAAAACAAGATTATCGGTTAGATACTAGTTTAAACGACTAACACTTTTTTCTACTACCTAGTACGTTTTGACGAGATTGATTATTGTACCGTTCTTTCATCTATTAAGACTTAATTCTCTGTGCTTAATTAGGCTTAAGTGGTTTATTGGTTTATACAGAACGGTTGGTTTGTTAACCCTCGCTATCTAGTGGTTTCTGAAAATGAAAATGGATGTTTACCAGTTAGAAGTGTCTGGCTTGAGTGTAAACTTATCGTAGATCTTTGGCCCTAACGAGATTCAGTGCAAGTCACTACACTTCATGGTCGGAAGAGAAATGATAGGAAAATAAATTTGCCAGGCCTAATGTAACATTATGTGCATAGTAATTGAACGATCAAAGTTTTAGAGGTATGATGTGAATAGAGCTAATTCCTTCAAAATTAGTAGGTATTATTTCTTGACATACAAACTAGACTCCGGCACGGGTTAATTTACTAAATTGCTTGGTTGATGGAGTCTCTTATACCAGCCACTCTCTGATTACATCCAAATTAATCTTACTGCAGCAAACATGGTATGATAAAATGGTTGGTAAGTGCGTCACATTTACATACACTTCAAATACATAACCTCTCTGTTCGCTTAACTTTATTTTTTGAAAATTGCACCTAAATTTTAGTGCTTCGGTGACACAGCAGCCCTATGTTCCACTGCGAACGTAAACGAATAAAAAAACATTTATAGAAAACCGACACACTCTAGTACAAAATACTTAGCCTTTGATTCATCCCATTTTTAGAATCGGTTAGGGAAAACAGATTTAACTGCATGGAGGATTTCATCATGAGCTGACATCAGTTACAGAACCATTGGAAAACCAACAAGGAGTACTGGAAAGCTGTTCCATCCTAGTCTGGAACTATTCATCAGTAAGCACCCACCAATGGTCCTTGAATTCTAACTTCTGACAATTCACGACATAGCGCAACCGTTTCGCAATGTCTTCTTCAATGAATTACTGCCTCATCTTTGGCCTGCTGTACCCTGCTAGTCACGGCTTCCCACCAGAATCCCAGGTTAACTGCTTGAATAGGGCCAGTCGCTAGTGAGCATCAGAAATGGTCGCGCTATGTCGTGAACTGGCAGAAGTTAGAATTCAAGAACCATTGGATCGAGTCTCAGTAACTCAATGGTCTACGAGCTCGCCTTGTAACCAGAAGGTCGTGGGTTTGAACCCCGTCATGTGGGTGAGTACTGATGAAGAGCTTCAAACTGGAACAAAACAGCTGTCCAGTACTCCTCGGTGGTTTTCCAATGGTTCTCTAACTGATGTCAGCTCATGATGAAACCCTCCATTCAGTCAAACAAAATAACTACAAGACCAATACTTGGAAACAGGTTTAGTTAAACGTCTATGTAATCGCGCCAGCAGCCCATCTAGTAAGTCAGAAGATTTAAATAATGAAATCAGACAAATAAAGGAAATTTACTTGGTGGATGGTGACTAGCAGTGGAATCCACCGGGATAACGCGCATCTCATCCTATTTGGGACTCGTTACTGAGTGGATGTACCTGCATTTCCCAGTGAGTGATGATATTCCCACTGAGGCTCCAACCACGAGGACGAAATGCGCGTTATCCTGGATTCTACTGCTAGTCACCATCCACCGATTAAATACCAATGAAATGCCCAGATATCGTCGAAGAGATTCTTCGACAAGAAGCCGATATGTCAACCAGAGACCGAGCCAATACTTCGGTCCAATCAATCGACGGGAAAAGCTAAAATTCAGTTACGGGTAAATTTTGTTTTGATAAAGTCTCACAGTGTTATACAGTAATGTTTACTGATGACCAGGTTTCGAGCACAATTTATTGCCACTCATAATCATATCAAGGTAATCACACAACTTCCTAACTTCATTTATATAGTTCCATTATTTTTCTCTTGATTTTCACTTGATTAGATTGGTAATAGTATTTTCCATATTTCAGGTATGAGTGACGAGTCATTCCTATTACATGTGTTGGGTGTAGACTCGATGAACAAGGATTCAGTAATCAACAAAAAAAGATCTAAATGATGAAATAAAACAGATAGAAGAAGCGTTGGTGTTGAACAACTATCCTATAAAATTCATTAGGAAGATCATTAAAGGCCAAAAACAAAATAAAAATAATTGTGAAACTAGTAATAATAACATAAATAAGAGAGAATATAAGTCATCTACAGTTATACCATATAAAGAGGGGAAATCTGAGACACTACGTAGGATTCTGAATAAAATAGGAATTAGGGAGGCATTTAAACCTACAAACTCACTCAGAGACAAGCTCTGTAGGCTAAAAGACCCGGTGGACCCAATTAGACAAAATAACATAATTTACAAAATACCATGCAATGACTGTGAGGTCAACTACATAGGTCAAACTAGTAGGTCAGGAGTAGTCAGATTGTCAGAGCATAAGAATTTAGTGGCTAAGGTAAGAATGGTTGGCCTCGAAAAGATGAGTAATTTAGAAAAACGCTCAGCAATTGCAATGCATGCATTAACACACGAGATGGTGGGAGAGGGTTAAAATTCTAAAAAGTAATCTAGATAGGTGGAGAGAGAGGTTGATCACTGAATCCGTGTTCATTGAGTCTACACCAAACACTTGCAATAGGATTGACTAATCACTCATACCTGAAATATGGAAAATACTACTGCCAATCAATTGAAAAATAATGGAACTATATAAATGAAGTTAGGAAGTCGTGTGAGTACCTTGATATGATTATGAGCTGTAATCAATTGTGCTCGAAACGTGGTCATCAGTAAACGTTACTGTATAACACTGTGAGACTTTATCAAAACAAAATTTACCCACAATGGAATTACACTCTACCACAGTGCACAAGTTTTATTCTTATATAAAATTCAGTTAAAATAAAGGAAATATTACTAGTGAATAACCAACCATCAGACTTCATTCAGAAATGTGTGAAAACCCATAGATAAAATGAGACTGGTAGAGAAAATAGCAGAAATAGTATGGAAGTCAAACCCTGTGAAGTATTGCCGTAAAATGAAGGAACATCAGAGGCCTTACGTAGTAGGATTCTCAATTAGGCTAGAATTAGGGTGGCAGTGAAACCAACCATCCAACTCTCTCAGAGATAAGCTTTATCGGCTTATGGACCAAACAGACCTAATTAAGAAAAATAATGTAATTTACCAAGTACCATGTAATGACTGTGAGGTCAGTTACACAGGCCAGTCAAACTAGTAAGAATCGGGGTCAACTAGACTACCGGGACATAAAAATTTAGCTAGCGGTAGAATGAATTGCATTCACTTGCATGTAATCATAAATCAGGGTGGGATGATACAGAGTGAGAGTATTAAAAAGAGTAATACAGTTAGGTGAAGAGAGAATGTGGTTAATCACTGAAACTTTGTTTATCAATTCAACACTGCACACGTGAAATCGTAATGATGCGATGCTCATGAAGGAGATATGGAAAGATAGAGGTGGAGGCAGAGAGAGAGAAAACATTTATAAGACTAAAGTGATATGATTATGAGCAATAAATTCTTCCTCAAAATGTCATCCAGTTATTAATACTGCATCATCACTGTGTGATATTTGAAATAAACGTAGTGGAATTACATTTTTACGACAGTGCCGAAGTTCTACAGTAACATTAGTTGGACACCACATATTCGGTCTTCTAAGTTGAGTCAACCTACGTACACCACTGGTGATTTCATCACCAAACAAGCGAAAAGGACCTCTTGTGTTCAGATCACTTCGATTGGTCCGGCTAATAAGCGGTATAAATTGATGTGAGTGGTTTCAAACTACTCAAATGAGTCAGTAGTATACACCGACACTTTGTCCGGTATTGATGTTGATTACATTCTTTGTGTGCTGAGGGGAAATTAGGTCTGCTAACTTCAAGTTTTGAATTTCCATTAACGGTGGTTTAGTTTCTACATGGTGGGGATATTCGCCTTTCGTTCTAAGCTTCTGCTTTTTTCTTGGCCTACTATCAACTAGGCATTTTTGGAGGGAATCTAACCCCTACCTTTACTATATATATATATATATATAGGCGGCTTGCTTGAATTGCAAGTCTATCTTAATTTCCATATAACACGATGCATCATGTCTTCTCTAATTCTGATTGTTTTAAACATTCAGTCACGTCTTTTAGCCGCAAAATATACTCCTGCACATTGACTTCAACTGGCTTTCAAACTGTGAGCGGAGGTTTTCAGAGAGAAAGAGGAAGAAATATAGTAAGGGATTAGTCTCCCATTCAGATCTAAGGGGTAACAACAGAAGACAAGGGCCAGGCAACAGATCGTTTTATTACGAAAATCAACACGTATTTATACATATTTCACATACATTATTATAGCTTATGCAAGTAGACAAGCGCAATCATCTGATTGGTTGTTTATCAGAAGTTAGGCAGACAAACGCAGGCTTCTGATTGGTTGTTTCGGGATTCCTCGACAAATAGAGTTCTCTATCTGCGAATCATATTTTGCCACGTTAACTTTGCTGTGATTGGTTGTTGAATCAGCCTTGCTCATATTTTCTCACGTCCTGCTCTCACCACAAGGGCACTGGACCATGCCGTATAGTATAAACCGCTACTTTGCTCTCAAATCATGGATAAGAGGGAAATATTATATGCCATAAATTTTATTGAGAATTCTATACACTGCGTATATATTTTGTCCTGAATAAAAATATTAATTATTATTATTATTTTTATTATTATCACTGTACAGCCGATGAACACGTTTAAGCAGAATGGTCTTTTTGATTGAAAAGTTTCACATGGCGTGTTCACTGTGAATTTGGATATTAATGTGTTAGAGTGTGCAGTGCTGGTCATTAGCTGACGTTGACTGAGTGTAAGAGTATGACGGGTTTATTGGAGATTTGGATGGAGTGCTGTGCACGTGAATAATTGTCTAAGTGGTGTGTGAGACAGTTATTCACCGATGTAGTGCTGACGCACATATCTCTGTTGGTCTGTGTATCCAACTAACAGGGTAGATTAGGATTCGTTCCCAAAATCGTTTACCACCGCAAGGAGTCGAACTCGGACTGACTGATTGAAAGAACCATAGAAAACCAGGGAGTAGTGGACAGAAATGTCGACCAGGTTTTGAACTCTTCATCAGTATGCACCCATGATATCAGCCCCCGGCGTTTTGGTCCAGGAGTTTTAGGTTACATAGTGATTTCGTTGAACAATCATTCACTTCCCTCGAACGTAGTCTTCAACATTTCATTTGTAATAAGTAGAATACGGATGGATAAATGACCGCCAATAACATTAGATGGTGACTGAGCTATATTCGATAAATTGGTGCCAAAGTGCTCAACATACTGGTTTCGTAACCCAAAAGACTTTGATTTATTGCCTTACAGTTTCTTGGGTGAGTATCACTGAAGAGTCAAAGATGAGGACGAAACAGCTGTGCAATAATTTACGTTTGTCACAGGGTTTTAACTGATGTCAGTTAATTGGGCTGAAATCTAACTCGAAACTAGCTATACTTTTTCACATTTCCTTTTTAAACTTTATATTGTCTGCATAAAACTACATCAATGTCAATTCCTTTCAACTTGATTTATAGCTGAATGTAGGAATAACTGTTCCAGTCACGGTGTCTGTATTGAACCTAACAAGTGTCAGTGTTATCCAGGATTTGGTGGCAATGAATGTGATTATGGTAAGTAGATAATCTCTAAATTCTGCTAAACTAATCTGATCTTGCCTGATCTCGTCACCCGATCATGTTAATCTCAGTCAGTTTCTAATTTTACAGTTTGTTAATTATTGTATTCTACCTATTTTATTTTATTTATTACTGTCCACCGGACATTTCTAGGCTATTTAGGAAGTTAATTGTTGGATGGCGACTAGCAGTGGAATCCAGAACAACGCGCATTTCGTCCTATTTGGGACTCGTTGGGGGCTGAATGTACCTACATTCCCCGGCAAGTGATGTAGATAGTGTTCCCACCGAGGCTCGAACCCAGTGCCCATAGTTTCAAACGCCAAAGCGTTATCCACTAGAACACTCGGGCCACGAAAGGCATCTCTTTTGCAACTCGTCATATTAATTATTTAATTCAATTTAAGATTTCCCCGTCAATTGATTGGACCGAAGTGCTCGCTCGGTCTCAGGTTGACATGTCGGCTTCTTGGTGGCAGATTCTTCGACGATGTCTGGGCATGTAATTAGAATTAAACTGGTGGATGGTGACTAGCAGTGTTAAGCATTCTCAAATCCTTTTTTTGTCACCTTGTTTAGTTTAATTTCCTTCAATTTTTTCATATATATCGACTTGACAAGTAAATGTGTGCGGGATCAGATTGTTTGAAATGTATAGCGCAAACACATCCCACATTAGTTTTCAGATAATCTTCGTCTTCTAAATAACAGCACTATCCAAATTTATAGAAGGGATTAATTGTTTTAAACTGTCTTAAGCTAAATCTCTCTAAATATCAGATTGTTAATTTCATTTTCAGACACAAACATAATGTACTGAACTGATCGGTCCCCATGAGTCTTGTTCCATCGAGGGTATTGAAGTTGAAACTAAGTCGAATATTAAATATCTTGGATTATATCTTGCCTCTCATCATTCCTGGTCTTCCCGCATCATTTCACTTTCTACCAGAATATTTCATCATCACATACGTTAGGAAGTTAAGACAATCTTGCATCATTCAGTCCCTGCTGTTACAATTTGTTAACTCTCGCATTCTACGTTTTCTTTTTTCCTGGACTACTTAAAAAAGCTTTATTACATTGCAGATGGCGCTAAAATTAGTCGATAAGGCGAGTAGGTTGTCTTTAAACCAACTCGTTTATACTTATTTAAGGAGCTAGTGAATATTAATCACTTTGTCGAACTCTCAGCAATCTCTTTATTTATATACAGCTCTCTCCCACCTTGCATCTCATCAGGTAAAATTAAAAGCAATTATAGAAGACTTTATACCTGGACGGTTAAGTACAAAAACTCTACGATGCCCTATTTGACAAGCACTTCATGTGATGAGAAAGGGTGTGTTAGGCATGAAACTATTAACCTGCAACTAAAAATTAGGTAAACGGCCCCTTAACTTCTTTCTTCCAATCATATTTTTTATTTATTTTTTATTTTTGATTACAGCTTGATTCCACACCGAATTTTTGGTACAAGTATGGAATTTTCAGCCTGCGATATCGGTAGCCCAAATTTCGGAGGCTGACCATAGATATCAGGTGTACGTCGGCGTGGGCTCGAACCCCGGACCATGTGCATGGTCGGCGAGAGTCCTAACCATTGTGCCACCGATGCACACACTGTTGTCACTATTTCTACTCAACTTTCCATTTGCACTATTATTTCCGTAACAACAGAAGACAAGGGCCAGGTAACAGGTCATTTCCTGAGGAAATCAAGAAATATTTATATTTTCTTTGTACATTATTATTCGTTATTATTAGCAAAGAAACAACGTCTTCTGATTGGTTGTTTTCTCACTGAAAGTTATTCTGTCATCTCTATGTGGCCTTTTTTTAAAGTTCACACTATATATCTGCTAATCGTATCCGCCCACGCAAAGTCTGCTGTGATTGGTTGTTGAGTTAGTCTTTGGAATTTAGGGTTCATTGGGTGAAAGAGGAAAAAGTTTTGAGGATCCCAAGGTTTTTAACCACTTTTTTTTTTTTTTAATTCTCTTATTGCGTTTGTTTAGTGGTGTCGAAAGTTTAACTTTGCCGTCTTTGGTTTTTGTTTTTTCTCAGGACCAAGATATGGGACGTAAGCATTGATGTAAATTACTGTCTACCAATTTAGCTAGCAGACAGCTGTCATCACATTACCAATGTAAATGTCCTGTTAATTGATTCCCCGGCTTACAATGTTGTGCATAAAGGAAATTAAACGCAACATACAGTACTACATGCTGTTTCAGAGGTACTGTTTGGAATAAGACCATCATTATTAATAAACAATAATGGCCTTATTCTAAACAACTGTACTTTTGAAACAGTGTGGAATTCGCAGCATGCAGTACGACACATTGCATTACATCTTATTTCCTCTTTACATTACAGATTTAGAGGGAAAAATAATTACAGAACTCCTTTTTAGATACTTAAAATTAATAATGGTGGCAATAATAATAATATATGAATGTGGAAATAGGTTTTTAATTTCCAAGGGTTACTTAGCAGGGATTTGATTTGAATTAAGTTTAATAACGGATCGATATCAGATAGGCAGCCAGTGAAAACCAGTAGGGAGTACTAGATAGTTGTTTCATCCTAGTGTGGTGTGCGCTGCTGATAAGATTTATAAGTAGTATACATATATATGTAGACGTTTATTGGTCTTTCCTGGCACTCATTCGTAGCGGTGATAATTCACTTTACAAATCTTCCAATTTCTCTTCCCATTTGTTCAAATTCGGCTGCTCTATTGCTGCTACCAGTGTGCATAGCAGCTGTCTGGTCAACTTCACCCGCGCACCGATGTCCATGAGTCGTGCTGCGTTAACCAGTTGTAATTGCTGACAAATGTAGAATGGGACGGCAATAGCTGCTACCACGTCCCTTCGTCCAAAGTGGGGAGTGGGCGATGTAGTATCTGTCCGGTTCCAGCTTTGAGACTGCATCGCTAGCTACCAGTTGGTCGAACAGGTACAACCAATACCTTTCAGATCTCCGTCCCATCTGACCGCTTCATACTGTGGTACGCTGCCTTTCCTCGACTTCTCAGCAGCGTCCCCAACACGACTGCCTTCGGCGTCGGATCCTTGGCGCCTATCAACTCAGCACAGGCTCGAAAGTCTCAAAAGCAGCTCCGAATGCCTCCTTCCTTGAAGGCAGCCGGCCATAGAATCTTCATTTTCTGGAGGCAGAGACACCAAATGAGACAGTAGAAGATGAAAGTTTTGATAAAGGAATGTTTATTTGAATCTTATAATCTCTATATAGCGAAGTTATGTACATCTTATCTTTAGCGTACCATTTGAACACAGAACTTCCATGTTGTACCTGCTAATTCTGGCCTTCCTTCATATTGTGTGTTTCTTTATGCTCCTTTCACGTCTTCCATGTATCTCCGCAATGCTGAATCATCATTTGCTTCCTCTGACATCAAATCTATCTGCCTCCTATTTGGTGTTTTCATGTCGAAGAAGGTCTCTTTATATACCAGTGATAAATCTTAACAGTAGTTTTGGACTCCTCACCAGTACGCATCGACCACAGTTTGAATCCACGACTTTCCGGAGACAAGGCAAGCTCGTAGACCCTACATCCATTTGGATCAGATTAAGTGGCTCATGAATTCCAACCTCCACCAACTCGTGATTTTAATGAATTTTCCTTTTTCATGCTAATTGTGATTATAACTGGACCAAAAAGATCATTTTCTCTTAAAATGTCAGTTCCCGAGAGCGAATGATTCTACGATTTCTAGGTTCGAGTCTTAGTGGAAACACTACTAACACATACTGATGACTTCCAGATGATGAGTGTAAAACAGGAGGAAATATGCCTCTCCTGAATTTCGTTATTAGTCACCATCTGTCAAAGTAAAAAGGGTTTCAAACCATATTCTTAAATAGCTTCAGAAGCAAATAGAATCCTCAGAGGCCATTAATAGTGAGAACAAGCGACGACCTAGCTCCTCTATTGCGAAGCATATGATAGAGACAGGACGTAAAATTGGTGTTTACACATCTTTTTTTAACCTATCCATAAAAATGTGGTTGGGGTGTATCCTAAAGTTTGCGGAAGCTTAAACTGCCTCTTAAACATTCAAAGCAGAAGTTCGTCATCATGCTAAACCACTTTCCTTGGTAAAATCTGTTTTCATAGTAGCCAGGGTGGATGTACTATTACCTCCCTTCTTTGGTTTGATGATCTTCATTGTTATTTAGACCTTCAATATGTACTTTTAACTTGACCTAAATTTATTTTTCTCACCTCATTACTCTTCATTTTTTTCCTTCACGTTCCCAGTAGACCAGTAGGGCTTCAAGCTACAGGCTTGAGGTTTCTGTAGCAGTGTTTTTATTATTTTCACAGGATGGGGTTGCTAGCCACCTCATGCCCAACCTTTACTCTTTACCAGCTTTATTACTTGCTTGGCGGGTAAAGGAGTGCGCCGGCCGGGGATTGAACCCCGGACCATGTGCATGGTCGGCGAGCGTCCTAACTGCTGTGCCACTGACGCACATAACTCTTCATTAATTGCACATACATTCCTATGACAAGCCCATGTGTGTTGGGCGAGTATACAATGCACGATTCAGACAAATCACATCTTCTTATAACTGTTTAAATTGGTACTTATGTTCGTTGTAGTATATACTGGTGATAGAAGAATCGAAACAGTCGTTTCTTTACTTTTTCTTCAGTAAGTCAGCAGCGTTTCGCCTAACACCCTTTTAAATCACCTAAAATAGATGTCAGAAAGGATACTGCTGAGTTCTTCTTATTGCTTCTAGTCCTATCTGAGAAGATTCAAGGACAAAAGTGTGAATAAAGGGGCTGTTTGAAGCTCTAAATGATGACTTTTGTCAGTGATTGTTGTTTAATTCAATTTTAGATTTTCCCGTTGATTGGTTGAGCCGGAATGCTTTGTCTCAGGTTACAGATGCTTTGATTATGTCTGGTCATGTAACCTGAAGTTAGTTAGTGGATGGGAACTAGCAGTGGAACACACCAGGATGGACATATCCTCTGACATGTCAACCTAAGACCAAGCGAGCACTTCGGTCCAATCAATCGACGGGAAAATCTAAAATTGAATTAAATATTTAATAAAACCCATTACACAAGAGTTACCTGTGGTGGACCGAGCGGTCTAGTGGATAACGCTTTGGTGTTTGAAATTATTAGCACTGGGTTAAGTGCGTCGATGGGAACATTATCAACATCACTCGCCGGGGAATGCAGGTACATCCATCCCCCCCCCCAATGAATCCCAAATAGGACAAAATGTACGTTATCCTGGTAGATTCCACTTCTAGTCACCATCCACCTGTAACAACAGAAGACAAGGGCCAGGCAACAGATCGTTTTATTATGAAAATCAACACGTATTTATACATATTTCACATACATTATTATAGCTTATACAAGTAGACAAGCGCAGTCATCTGATTGGTTGTTTATCGGAAGTTAGGCAGACAAACGCAGGCTTCTGATTGGTTGTTTCGGGATTCCTCGACAAATAGAGTTCTCTATCTGCGAATCATATTTCGCCACGTTAACTTTGCTGTGATTGGTTGTTGAATCAGCCTTGCTCATATTTTCTAACGGCCTGCTCTCACCACGCACCAATTTTCCTGATTCATGTGTTGGGTTCTGTAGACCACCACACTGACTTCAGATTAATAAAGGCTTGTATCACCCTTCTGATCTTGATTAGGTTTGACACCCTCATTCACGCCACCTGTAGGTGAAACAATACTGTCTAATTCAAATAAGTTTAAGTGAAGACTTCTCTTAGATTTCCACTACTCTTAATGACTACGGGTGTTTCCTGTTGTTGGTTAGAGGTCTTCATCACCTTTGTCTCCTCCGTATTCACTTAAAGTCCCGTCGTCACGACTTCTTCTTCTTCATTCAAATCGCTGGTTTTCTCTTTCAGACTGTCGAGTTGATGTGTGACATCATACATAAATTATCCATGAGCTTCAAATCTTCTAAAAACCTTCTTGTCAGTTAGACGTATTCATGTCTTCTCTCCCCTCACAGTCTGCAGCATAATCCAGTCAATCACAGTCAAGAATGTCAACTTTGTGTTAATACACAACCTTGTCTTAACCCTGTCTTCACTTCGAAAGCATCGCTGAGTATCCCGTTGCAGGTACACATGAAATGAAGCCTATATCATTCTTTGAAGTCAGTTGGCAAATGGTGACTAGCAATGGATTCCAGAGTAACGCGCATTTCGTTCCATTTTGGGACTCGTTGGTGGCTAAATGTACCTGCATTCCCCAGTGAGTAGCGAATGGCGTTCTTACCTAGACTCAAACCCAGTGCCCAGTTGGGTCACGACAGTGGCCCCTTGTGCAACTCATCATATTAATTATTTAATTCAATTTTGGATTTTCCCGTCGATTGATTTTACTGAAGTGCTCTCTCGGTCTCAGGTTGACATATCGACTCCTTGTGCAGATGCTTCCACGATGTCCCGTCACGTAACCTGAAGTCAAAACCATATCCTTCTTTCCCTGAAAGTAAATATTTCATCATTCAATTTATTAATGTGTTCCTCAGTTAAAGTCTCGTAGGAATGAAATTCCTAAGGATATCAAATCGATGATCTAGAAAGCAAGGTAAGCTTCCATTACTCTCAATTCTATGTGGAAATCAACAGCACTCAGTATGGAAAATAGGATGCAGATTTTCAACACCTATGTGAAGTAAGTGCTACTTACTATGTAGATCAGAGACTTGGCGCTGCGCCACGCCGCACCGCGCCACGTCACGAAGATTACTTCAAACAAACTACACACCTTCGTCAACAGCTAGCTATCTTCACTCAATACTTCTCCAGACTATATGGCTGACCAAACAAGATCAGCAACATGGATCTCTGGGAGAGAACCAACCAAGAACCGATTGTGCAAGAAATATGCAGGAAGAAATGGAGGTGAATTGTCTGGTCATACTCTGAGAAAACCATCCAGTGACATCTCAAGACAGGTCATTACTCGAGTAGAACCCAAACGGAAAACCGCCATTTGGCCATCAGTGCGACGGTGACAACTGAAGGCGGTCATATGAAGAGGAGATTAAAGTATGTAGGCAGACATGGACTCAGGTCAAAACGTTTGCTGATAACCAAACGCAATGGAAACGTGCGGTTGAATACCTGTGTTCCTCTAGGAACTAAAGAAAGCAATAACAATAATAATAATAGGAATGAAATTTGTGAACGTTTCATGAATACCTAAGATTTAGTAACATAACATTCTTATTCTATTAATTGTATTTTAGATTTGAACGAATGTAACATGAAGTTGAATTTATGCTCAGAGAATTCAACCTGTCTCAACTTACCCGGTTCATATACTTGTGTATGTCAGGATGGATTTGAATCAACTGCCTGGAGTCAAATAAACAAGTTAAATACAACTGGATCAATAAATAATACTTTTACTAATAATAATGTGTCATACCATCAAAAATCAGGCAGTTCTACTGGATACATGTGTCAAAGTAAGTTGTCAGTTTTATGTGTACATCAGTGTCTACGTTGTCACTAATGCATATATTTGAAGTTTGACATATATGTGTATACATGGATGAAATGATAGATGATATACAGGCGTGGCATGGCCTACCGACAAGACTTTTCAAGTAGTATATATTCACTAATTGAGCGATCGATCGGATGGCGAAGGCAAGGAATGAAAGCTCCTTGTCACACCATCTAGAACGCATGGAAGGAAGTCAAAAGAAGCATAACAAGATGAAGATATGCAAGTGGAGATTTCTGTATTTTGTCATATGTGTATATCAATTTACCAAATAAACAATTGCGCTACGAAATACTTCCAGGTTCTTCTGTTACATAGATGTGTGAACAATAATGAGGCTATTAGAATGTGAAAACGAAAAATAATTTTCCATGCGTAGTCTTGTAACGACAAAAGACAAGGGCCAGGCAACAGATGGTTTATTGATAAATTCGAGAAATATTTATAGATTTTTATGTACATTATTTATTAGCGTTATTGTTAGCAGAGAAGCAACGTCTTATGATTGGTTGTTTTCTTGCTCAAGGTTATTCTGTACTGCCTGTAACCGTTTCTTAAAAAGTTAAGCCATATATCTGCGAATCGTATTTGCGCACGTTAAGTCTTCTGTGATTGGTTGGTGAGTTCCTCAAGGTTAAGCTTTGTTATTGCTGTTTTTTCTCAATAACCCCGATTTGGGACGTGTAACATTGACGTCAAATGTTGTCTACAATTCTTGGCTTGCAGACAGCTCTCATCATAGTCTTATGAAAAAGATATTCAACGGAGAAGAAAACCATGACGCAGACAGTCAACATCAGGATGAAATCCCATCCTGTGAAAATAAACACCACTGCTACTAAAACTTCAAACCTGTAGCTTGCAGCTCTATGTTCCATTGTCTGTCTGTCTGTCTGTTTTCAACATAGAACTTCGCACCGATGCGCAGCAGTTCGATTAGCCACACTCCCACCATGTAGCACACAAAGCAAGAGAAGAAAAGTAGAAGAAATGCAAAATAGAGACAATAGACAGGGATATGCGACAAAAGGAGTAGTAATATCGAAGAACAATTTGTGTTTCATTGGAAATAATAAGTCACAAGGAGTGGGTGCATCTACACCAGCCATTGAGAATGTTTTTTGAGCCATGTCACCAATTGTCTCCAGCCTTCATTGGTGTTTACCATCCCGAGGACATCAACCAGGAAGTCTACATCTTCCTACATGGCTGGCTTAAACTAATCGTTGTGGATTTCATTGACTGATGAAGCCATATTTTGGTTTGACCCCCGCTATCTATTTTCCAGCCTGACCCTATATCAGCTGATATTGCCCGTCAGTCGAGGAAGGCGATGACCAGGAATGCATAACACATGTCCTAACCATCTCAGTCGATGTAGCTTCACAGCCTTTTTGATTCACTTCCTTTCCTTACCTAGCACTCGACGCCTAACCTCAATATTGCTCACCCTATAGTACCAATTTCCACAGGAGATGGAACGAAGTCACCTATGATCAAAGACAGTTAGCCTTTTCATGTCTTCCACTCTCAATGGCCGGGTCTCACAGCCATGAAGGAGGACAGAGCGGACTGCTGCAATTCTTTACACACACCCTTTGGTCAACAGCCAGCCAGCCGGATGTCACGTCTACGTCACAGACGGTGTAAACTGGCATATGCGAAACTAGCCTTCTGTATCTGTGCAGAGGTTTCGTCAGTGATCAACCTGTTGGGGCCGGCTGATAAAACTTCTCAAATAAGTGAGGCGATCAACGCGCTTTACCACTTCACTGTCGATTTCTAAGCTACGAGTCAATGTATTCCAGTAATGTGGCATCATCTTACATTTGGCGGCAGTGAAGATGTAGGCTGTCTTAGCACTTCACACAGGAACAGAAATGAATGAAAAAAAGAAAATAAAAAGAATGTTATTGTTAATACTATTCCTCTGGTTTCCAAGTGGAATACATAGCTTCAACATAACACAGCCATTTCACTCTTCCCTCTGCAGTCTTCTTTTTAGCTGGTTCTACGATTGCCCATAAGTTTCAATCTTCTCTTTATACGATCTTCTCCATGTCTTCCCGAACCCTCAGCCAACTTGTCTATTCTCATTCAGTTTCCATTCAACAGTCTCTCCAGCTTATGTTCAATCCACCTCTGTTTACCTCAGTATATTCGTCTGAAGATATATTCTTCATTGGTTCTTTGTCAAAGTTCCTCGTAGCCTACTCTTTCCCGTCATTTAATCTTCAGTATCCAGCTGTCGAAGACAGCTGTTGAAAGTCTGAGGCCTGCTGAGTCGAACCTGTATACCGCTAACGAGCTCGGCGTCAAACGAGAGGAACGCCTGTCGTTGAGTGTTTAGACCATTTCGACCTGACGAGGAAACACTACTGTGTGACATGTGGGTGGTATCCAACTGCATATCTCAATCAATCAGTTATATGCAGAGGTATGGATTTATTAGTTTATACTAACTTTGATATCATTAAAAGCCTAAGTTAAACCTCAAGCACCATTAACTACCACAGTGGTTAGGACTCTCGCCGACCATGCACATGGTCCGGGGTTCGAGCCCACGCCGACGCACAGCTGATATCTATGGTCGGCCTGCGAATTTCGGGCTACCGATATCCACGATGAAAATTCCACACTTGTACCAAAAATACGGTGTGGAATCAAGCTGTAATCAAAAACGATAAAGAAAATTTAAAAAAATAAAATAATGGAGTGTGACCGCACCAATGACCTTGAAATTCTCACTAAGCAAGTTAGTGAAACCTGGCAAATAATTTTGTCATCAATAAAATGTGCTCATCGAAGTGTTGTGCTATTAAATGGGATATCCGGCAAGTTTCAACTTAGATTTAGTAAAGATTAAGTTACGCTTACATCCAAGGACAAGTTAGGGTTAGGTTCACATACCCAATACTACCAGTTAAAGGTTCATTCATGGTGGAAGCGCAATACGTTGGGGGTGTTATTTTGTTCACAAAAAAATACAACGAAAACACAAACGGAAAACGCGAGAAGACCGGAAAAAAAGGGGTTAAAATAACCAACCAACCAACAACAACAACAGCAGGAACATCTAGCGCCAATCACCATCAACGGGAGGGACATTAAAGAGGTTACTTCATTCACTTATCTAGGTAGCATTGTCTCAACTACAGGAACGGAGGAACGGACGAGGATGTCAAATCGAAAATCGTGAAGGCGAAAAACACATTCATCAGCCTGAAATCAATCTGGAAATCTTCGTCAATCAGCATCACCAACAAAATTCGGATTTTCAATACAAACGTAAAGTCAGTTCTTCTATACGGATCAGAAACTTGGTGGGTAGGTCACAAAGAATATTTCCAAAAGGCTGCAGACCTTTATTAACAACTGTCTTCGCTCAATACTGAAGATCAGATGGCCGGAAAGAATCACTAACAAGGAATTATGGGAACAAACAAAGCAAGAACCAATCGCCAACCAACAAATATGCAGGAGAAAGTGAAGATGGATCGCTCACTCGCTGAGGAGACCGCTGGGTGACATCGCGCCAAGCCCTCGAGTGGAACCCGAAAGGGAAGCGGCGTGTGGGACGTCCAAGGGTGACATGGAGGAGATCGTGTGAAGAGGAGTTGAAAGAATATGGATTAACATAGATGCAGGCGAAAAGTACAGCAGAAGACATAAGAAAATGGAGACGTGCAGTTGAAGCCCTATGTTCCACTAGGAACCCAAGGGAGCAATAATAATAATAAAGGCGACATTATGGTACGTTCGAGTTAGATTACAGTTAGTTTAGGGATATTTTCACGTTAGGGTTAGGTTCAGGAAAGATTAGGGTTATTGTTTAGCTTAGAAGACTTAAATAATTACATGCATAGAATGTGTGGTTAAATTACTCTGTTGATATAAGAATAGAACTTGTGTACTGTGGAGGTAGAGTATAATTCCATTGTGGGTAAAATTTATTTTGAAAAAGTCGTCCCGCAGTGTATTATACAGTAATATTTACTGATGACCACGTTTCGAGCACTCTGTTGATACTCCGATCTGAAATTGAGAGTTATTTTTGTCACATGTGAGAGGAAGGTATCCTCTCTAACAATTTTATACAGTTATTATGCATATTTTTCCCCATAAATATTTGAATTCCATACATGAAAATCCCTCCTTCACTTGATTGGTGCTTTCAAGGTCATTCGCTGATTGGTAGTTACTGTTACTTAAAGTTTAATTTTACCCATTAAAATATCTTTAGTCGCATATATCAATCTATGCATATCTTTGTATGCTTTTAATAGAAATTATCAAAATGTTTGTTTTATCTAAAATACTTTCTATTCGTATATTTGTAGGGGTTTCTTTGTGTTCTGGTTATCAAGGCATTTATCTTACTTGTCCAAACGCCACATATTGTGGTGACAGCCAAGGGAAGTACATGTGCAAACCGTCAGTTTCAAGTAACGGGCGAAGTGAAACGGTAGAAAGAATCAATTCAACAGTGTATAGTACGTGTAAGTTCAATATAGACTAAGCTACTTCTTTCGTTAGAATAGAGACTGCTAAATAATAATAATAACAACTTCAAGTTTCGAAACTTTCAAATCTCTTAACTTTAATTTATATATGTCCAAACCGAGTACACATTTAACAGTTTGAAAAAATATTGAGCATTAGGTATACGATATATTCATTATAATGAAGGTATTTTGCATTTCCAAATGAATGGATGAAAAACAAAAGGATATTGTTGCTTTTACTGACGTTTCGCCATAGAACGGAGACGTCAGACGATATCACATGAGTATTCAACAAGCTCGACATCAGAGTTTTCTTCAAAACATCAGACACACACACTACAAAACAACCTTGTCCATATAAAAGGTCAACTCTCTAAGAATTCTCTATCCGGGTGGGTGCGTACTGCTGAAGAGTTCCAAACTAGGACGAAACAGCTGTCCATTACTCCCAGGTTTTCCAATGGTTCTCTAACTAATGTCAGCTCATGATGAAATCGTGAATTCTCTATATAATTGCATCCACAAAATGCTTGAAATATGATGCCATATACACCCGACAAAAATCGTCGTACAGAAATCGAAATCAGAAGAAATGAACACCGTATAGTGTGAGTGTCTGTTCAACCAGCAAGAAATCCAGTTAGAAAACTAGAAAAGCTTGAAAAAATCACCAACCAGCTATAGGTGATGGTCTACACGCTACAGAATCAGGCCACAAGATTGATTTTGACAACATTGAAATCATCATCCAGGAAAAACATTTCAGAAACCACAAAATATGTCTCACATCATCAGAAGCACTTCATGTCATCAAACTGAATCCAAATTGTCTGAAGTAAATAGGGATGATTGACTTAAAACAGAATTTGACCTGGTTACAACACCCACCCACCCACCACCTCCCCCATGAAGTGACAAAATCAACATGAATATGACAAGCAATTTCACTATGTAAACACACGCTGCTTTTATAATTTTACACACCTGTCAAATCCAACAATCTACACATGATGGTTTTGTTATCTTTAACAACTGGTCAATTTGACAACTCAAAAATGATCTCATACTGATGAACAATGATTAAGTTGTTGTATACGAACTGAGTGGATTTTTTAAATTCTAGTTTGATAATACTACTTTGATAAAGCTATTAGCAGCAGTATTAAATAATTAAACGTCAATAAAAACACAACAATATCATTTTGTTTTCCATTCATTGGGAAATACAAACAATTCTCAACTTTAAGTATCTATTCCTGACTGACGCACTCCTAAATCTTGCTAACCCAACAAAAATGGAAGCATTCGATTGATTGAACACAGGATTTCATCATGAGCTGACATTAGTTAGAGAACCATTGGAAAACCTGCGAATACTGGAAAGCAGCTCAGTCCTAGTTCGCGACACTTCACAATACACCAGGCTTCGAAACCAGGACCTTCTGGTTACAAGGCGAGCTCGTAGGGTATCAGGGCAAATACTCGCCCAAGACATTGGCTAGCGGTTGCGCTATATCGTGAACTGGCAGAAGTTAGAATTCATGGGCTGGCCACTGGGTCATGTCCCAGTGGCTTAACGGTCTACGAGCTCGCTGGCCTTGTAACCAGAATGTCCTGGGTTTGAATCCCGGTGAGTGCATACTGCTGAGGAGTCTCAAGCTAGGACGAAACAGCTGTTCAGTACTCCCGGGTTTTCCAATGTTTCTCTAACCAATGTCAGCTCATGATGAAATCCTGTAACCAAAAATGGATTAGTTACATCACTGCATAGAAACAACAGCATTGCAACTAAAACTTCAAAACTCAACTCAAAATGCAGACGAATGACGAAAATTCTGTAATAGGAGTTAGATCGAACTGAACAGCTGTTAACTATGTTATCTAATATGACCGATCACTGCATGGAACTGACCAAATTTCATCATCCACGCTTATTATCCACAAAGAACTATGATATGCATGAAGTTTGCCGGTGACTAATCGAAATTCATGATATACAAATAACACGCTTCTGTTTGAATAAATTAGAACAGATTTAATCCTTTGCCTAAAAATCTTTTCCCCCTTCATTTCCAAGTCAGCTGGACATAACGAATAGTGAAATTCATCAAATACAGTGTAGTGTGTGCAACAAATGTTAGTACATATTTTTGACTACTAACAAACTATTTAAGTAGAACAGCAAAACAAACAAAAATACTTCCATGTAATCAGGAACACATGAGTCAGCAAATAGATAAGTTTTTGTGACTTCACTTCAAAGCTTTACAGTTATTTAGGGTATACATATATACTACGCAGATTGACGAAAGAGGTCAAAGGTTATTTTCAGTTAGTAATAAAGCAAGTTAAAGTGAAAAATTATAATTAACAGTAATTTTGGTCTGTGAAACGGTGAGTATTGAGTTTTTTTTTTTTTTTTTATTCTTCGAGATTTGGCCAATTTGCCGGGGACCCGCTGGTCGGCGAGAGTCCTAACCACTGTGCCACCGACGCACAGTTACAGTCTAAATGTTGACACCATCATTCACTAAAGAAATACGCATACCCGGATGATGAGTTTCGAATTAGATCAGTAACTGAAACAACGCTGCTCAGATGACTGGGAAGTGGAGAATTTCTTTGAAATCAAGTACAACTGTTTTCGTGTCTTATCCTATCGTAAATTCTACATGTTGCTCCTCGTACCCTCTGGTAATAAGGTTATAGATTCTAACATTGATTTTTCGGTTCACTATACACGCTTTATTGATTCATCTCTTTTTATTATGCTTCTTTAACTAAAGCCTGTTCAGTTGGTTACCATGGAATGTACAGTAATCAGTCAGTGAACACATTGAATGAAATTCCTAGTGATCAATTCAAACAATTAATTTATTCTACTGATAATCGTGAGAACAGCCTATTGTGTTATTGTCAGGTGAGTATACTTTGATATTTATTCAGACATCTATAAAACACAGCATAATTGAACAAAGAAGAATATCTTTTTCGATAATTTTATTTTTCTGACTCTACAATTATATGTCTGTATGTTTATATACATAGAAATGCGGTAAAAAGAGCATTCCCTGCTGCCGAATTACGCTGTGTCTTTAAAATCGTGCCTATTTTGCGTTCGGGAGTAAAAGACAAACTGTCTAATTTCACCAAATCTATGTGTGTGTGTATCTACCAATTTAACTGCTCCTGTGGAGTGAGCCAGTTAGTTGCATAGGCCCTACAACTAGGCGTGTTTATTGTCAGATTTCCGAACATCATCTTGCGTTGTTGGCTAAGTATAGGACAAACAAAATCTGTTCTTAGCGCTATTCTATCTCATCTTGTGGATACAGAACACAAGATTGATGTTGTTAACGAGGCGACTTTCAAAGTTATTTACCGCATACCAACAAATCTTCGCTTCGCCTTAAGAGTTCGTCTACTGTATATTGCTTAGGCTGTTGGGATCTATATTAACAAGCCTAATTTATGCATCCAAAAGAAGTTAGTCCAGACATTATCCTTACCTTGACCATGTAAGTTTGAATGATCCTCAGTCCTTTGTAGAAATTCCCCAAATTTTAGTTGACATTCTATTTGCTACTATATCTTTATTACTAATTTAATTTAAGCATCCTTTACGAACTGTAATTCCATTGCGATCTTACTTTACAAATCGATATTATTTTTAAAAAAAAACACTAATATTGTTATTGACTACTATTCTAGAATATCCTATGCATATAAACATACAGATATATATAACTGTAGAGCCAGAAGAGGAATTTATCGAAAAGAATATTCTTCTTTGCTCGATTATTTTGTGTTTCATATGCGTGAGTTGGATGTCTATCTATCTATCTATCTATCTATCTATCTATCTATCTATCTATCTATCTATCTATCTATCTATCTATCTATCTATCTATCTATCTATCTATCTATCTATCTATCTATCTATCTATCTATCTATCTATCTATCTATCTATCTATCTATCTATCTATCTATCTATCTATCTATCTATCTATCTATCTATCTATCTATCTATCTATCTATCTATCTATCTATCTATCTATCTATCTATCTATCTATCTATCTATCTATCTATCTATCTATCTATCTATCTATCTATCTATCTATCTATCTATCTATCTATCTATCTATCTATCTATCTATCTATCTATCTATCTATCTATCTATCTATCTATCTATCTATCTATCTATCTATCTATCTATCTATCTATCTATCTATCTATCTATCTATCTATCTATCTATCTATCTATCTATCTATCTATCTATCTATCTATCTATCTATCTATCTATCTATCTATCTATCTCTATCTATCTATCTATCTATCTATCTATCTATCTATCTATCTATCTATCTATCTATCTATCTATCTATCTATCTATCTATCTATCTATCTATCTATCTATCTATCTATCTATCTATCTATCTATCTATCTATCTATCTATCTATCTATCTATCTATCTATCTATCTATCTATCTATCTATCTATCTATCTATCTATCTATCTATCTATCTATCTATCTATCTATCTATCTATCTATCTATCTATCTATCTATCTATCTATCTATCTATCTATCTATCTATCTATCTATCTATCTATCTATCTATCTATCTATCTATCTATCTATCTATCTATCTATCTATCTATCTATCTATCTATCTATCTATCTATCTATCTATCTATCTATCTATCTATCTATCTATCTATCTATCTATCTATCTATCTATCTATCTATCTATCTATCTATCTATCTATCTATCTATCTATCTATCTATCTATCTATCTATCTATCTATCTATCTACTATCTATCTATCTATCTATCTATCTATCTATCTATCTATCTATCTATCTATCTATCTATCTATCTATCTATCTATCTATCTATCTATCTATCTATCTATCTATCTATCTATCTATCTATCTATCTATCTATCTATCTATCTATCTATCTATCTATCTATCTATCTATCTATCTATCTATCTATCTATCTATCTATCTATCTATCTATCTATCTATCTATCTATCTATCTATCTATCTATCTATCTATCTATCTATCTATCTATCTATCTATCTATCTATCTATCTATCTATCTATCTATCTATCTATCTATCTATCTATCTATCTATCTATCTATCTATCTATCTATAGAAGGATACTCAGTGATATGTTTTGTCATCATTTCTTTGTATTTGGGAGGCGGGGGATATATCGTAGGTGACAGGCTGGTTAAAAAGTAACTACCTGACTCATTTCATTGTCAATGACTTCGTAGCTAACTAGTCTTTTTTAGCCAATATGGACTCCCAATCAATCAAATGGAATGATTCGAAGTTACAATCATTGCATGCCTTACTCTTAAATTAGACATTGTGGAAGTTCACTTTTTTGGCGTTTCCTTATATTTGATACAGACAAAATGAATGTTGCATAATATACCTCTACATTTTGTGAGGAACACAGGACTTCAAGCATAAGCTTTGAAATTTTAGCACTAATGATGTTGTGTTACGGGATGGAGCTGTTAGTCTCACATACACATTTCCCTCCCTTACGGGTCTATTAGAGGTTAGGCGAGGTGTAAGATTACCTCAATTCGGAGTCGAACCTGGACCTTCTGCGTGGCTAAAGAGCATTCTACTATTCAGCCAGTGACACACCGGTATAGTGACCTATAGGCAACAAAGTGTCTTTGCACTTTACATCAGCAAACTCTCTTTGAAGGTTACAACGTACTTTCTGAAATGATGGAATACGACAGTAAACTGCAATAAATACAGATAGGAAGTAGAGACACTGGACAACATCACTGGCGAGAAGCAAATATCCAGTCCCTTGATGATCCTATGTAAACTCTTTAACGGCTGTAAGAGTTTTATTAAACAGAGCCAAACAGTGAAATCTACTTGATCAACAACCAGTTCACAGTTTGAAATAATAATTTCAACATCTCTCAGTCGTCTGAGTTAAATGCCAGATTCAGGTCATTAAATAAAGGAAGTGTCGCTGACAATAAAAGTGTACTGACTCAATAATCTGTGAACAAATGAAGATATGATAAAAGTATCTCGATTCCGTAGAGTTTTCTGTTTCTAAACTCTAGTTAACCTAATGTCTACTAATAATAGGGCCTTCGTCGAGTGTTGATGCACATTTCAAAAGATTTGTTCACATTATTGGTAAAACCAGAGGATCCCCATCTGCATCAAACCATAGGTTCTTTCTTCCATGTCATCTCTGGAATAGATCTAGACGAGGTGCTGTAAGCAGCCTACACTTGACCCCTAAGCAGCATCTCTAGCCCCAGTGACTTCACTGTCGCATTATGGACACCCAGCAATGTCGTGCCGACTCCGAAGCCCTTCGGGAAGCTTCGAACACCGCCCTCTTAGAAAGCTGTCTGTCTGTTTTCGACATAGAACTTTGCACAAATGTGCGGAAGTTCAAGTCGCCACACTCCGTGTAGCACGCGAAGCAAGAGAAGAAAGTACAAGAAAAGCATAATAGAAACAGTGAGCAGAGGTGTGAGACAAAGGAGTAATAAAGAAATACAAAACAGTTTCACTGAAGATCATAAGTCACAGGGAGTGGATGCATCTGCGCCACTGAGAACGATTTTGAGCCATGTCACCAATTGTTTCCAACCATAGATTTTTACCGTCCCGAGGACCCCAGCCTGGAAGTCTACACCTTTCTACGTGGCTTAGACCTACTGTTGTGGATTTCAACGACTGATGCCAAGTTTTTGTTTGACCGCCGCTAGCGTTTTTCCAGCCTGACCCTATTTCCGCTAACATAGCTCGTCGAGGGAGGCGATGGCTTGGCATACGTAACACATGTCCTAACCATCTCAGTCTTTGTAGCTTCACGACTTCGTCGATTGATTTCCCCTGTTTACCTAGAACTCTACGCCTAACCTCCATGTTGCTCACCTTATTATGCCACTTTACACGGAAAATAGAACGCAGGCACCTATGATCAAAGACAGCTAGTCTTTTCATGTCTTCCACTCTCAGTGGCCAGGTCTCACAGCCATAAAGGAGGACGGAGTGGACTGATGAGCAGTACACCTGCCCTTTGGTCGATAGTCGAACATCTCGTCTACGCCAGAGACGGCGTAAACTGGCAAATGCGAAACGAGCCCCCTGTATTCGTGCTGGGATTTCGTCAGAGATCAACCCGTTGGCACTGGCTGATGGTACTTCCCAAATAAGTGAAGCGGTAAACGTGTTCTACCACTTCACTTCCTATTTTTAAACTAGGCGTCGATGTAGTCCAGTCCTGTAACATCATCTTGCATTTGGCAGGAGCGAATCGCATGCCAAACATTCGTAGATTGCAGCTCAAGGTGTTCAGAAGACTCTGAATTTCGTCAGCATCCTCGCCTAGAAGAGAGGACTATATCGTCTGCATATTCCAAGTCAACGAGATTATTCCCCGGTAGCAAGTCAATCCCTGAGTCGCTGAAGTCACTTAGGGTTAAGTCCATCAGTACATCTATGATGAAGTTGAATAGAAAAGGAGATAATGGGCATCCTTGACGGACACCACTGGTCGTCATCAGTTCAGATGACAGCTCGCCGTAAGCCCTCACCTGGCTGTATGAGTACGAGTACAGTGCCTTAATCAGTGCAATATATTTTCTTGGAATTCCCTTTACAGCCAAGCATCTCCAGAGAACTTCCCGATCGACAGAGTCGAATGCTGCCTTTAGGTCAAGAAATATAATGACTGTTGGACGCCGGTAGGAATGCCTATGTTCTAGAATCTGTCGGAGGGTGAAGATATGACGGGGGCGACACTTAATGTAACAACAGAACATGGTCGCATTTAGCAGCAAAGCCAATTATCTCGTGGAGTGATGATCATTTATGGTGAGATGTGGAAAATTAACAGTGAAATCTTCAATTTGTGCACATATTCTCCATATTGTGTCTCTTTTGTTTCCCTTTCATGTTTTCTCTATATTGGAAAACCACGAAAGAGTACTCAACATATGTTTCTTCAGTCTAGTTCGAAACTATTCCTCAGTACACACCCACCGAAAGGGTTCTAACCCACAACCTTCCGGTCACAAGGATAGCAACATTGCAGAACATTAAGCCAACGGGACCTAATCTAACGACCAGCCCATGAATTCTAACTTCTGCCAATTCGTGATGTAAAGCGACCACTTCGCAATGTCATGAATTGGCAGAAGTTGAAATTCATGGGCTGGTCATTGGGCTGGGTCCCGGTGGCTTAATAGTCTACGAGCTGGCTAGCCTTGTATCGGAAGGTCCTGGGTTCGAACCCTGGCGGTGGGTTTTGGAGGCCTACTGCTGAAAGCCAGTCCCAAATTAGGCTGACGAAACAGCTGGCTGCCCAGTACTCCTTGGTGGTTTTCCAATGTTTCTCTAACGGATGTCAGCTCATGATTGAACCCTCCAACCAATCGAACACAATCCCTACTAAACCAAGAATTGAAAATGTTATTTTAGTATATTATTACCACACCCCTTAAATGCTTCGGGACCAAATCATCAGGTCATGTTGGTTCGATTTCTTTAGGATTTAATATAGCCTTCTTGACTTCGATCCAATCTTTTTTGGCTTGAGGTTAAACATAGGATAAATGCAGAGCAGATGCATGTCAGCTGAAATTATAGAAGGTATTGGCGTTTCATTTTGGCTATAAATGCAGCTTGATGAAGAATATCTAAAAGCGATCAGCTTGTAAGATGAAACTCCTTGTGGACTGCCTTTAGGGTATTCTATCCTGTTTCTTTTACATTCGTTTGTATTCCAGGCGGGACTTAGACCTTCAAGCTTTCAGCTTTGAATTTTCAGTAGAGATGCTGCTGTATTCACAGGATGGAAGTCCAGATTTATCAGCCACCAGTTAAACAAATTTTAATAGTGTGTGTCGGTCGGGAATAAAATCCGAACTACTCGCAACGTATTCAGAGAGTATTCTGCCATACAACTGCTAAAGAACAGTAGTTACATGTTAGGCTGGAGTATCGTCCCGTCAGATGGAATAAGATTCAAATGTAACGAAACGCTACCAGATGAATAGTCGTGCGTCGATGACATAGTGGTTAAGACACTCGCCAACCATGCACATGGTTCGGGATTCGATCTCCGCTCGCTGACGCACTCACTCCTTCACCTCGCTAAGCCACTAATAAACCTGGTAGAGAAGAAACGTTGGACATGAGGTGACTAGAAACCTCATAATGTAAAAATAAACACTGCTACAGAAACTTCAAGCCACTAGCTTGAAGCCCTCGCTATGTTCCACTGGGGAACGTGAAGGAATAAAATATCCAGATGAATAATAAATGGCTTTCGCGCATAAGTTCAGGATCATGTTAAAGTCCTAGAGGGCACAGTGTTGCTGGCTGAGATGAAACCACATTCAGCTGAGACATTTCTTCAGTAGTAGGATGAAACATACGCCATGAATTCAACCGCTAACATCTACCAAACTAATTAGAATTTATTAGCACTCACACTACTGAATCTCTCTTTTCATTCAATATAAATCTTTTAGTCAGGTCAACTTGAATGTATCCGGCATCCAGACTATTCGTTATTTGTGTTAATTCAATCAATTTCAACGAACCCTTGTATATAAATCAATCAGTTCATCCTCGGCATCATGAGAACCAGTTGTGTATAATCTGTTCAAAACTGCAAAAAAGCTCACAAAGGGAATTATCATCGAATCTATCAAAATGGTATGCGGATTATTGTATATTATGCAGTTTTATGGACAATGTAACGGAGATAAACAATTTTACTTATTGGTGGGTAATTGAACAGAATACTTCTCCGCAGCCTCGTCTTTCTCCGAGGTGGGAGAATCATTCATTGTGTAAAATATGTATACAGTTGGTAAGTAGTGATTCACTGATATATATGTATATATATACATTGATGTTATCCTGTAATCTTGTATAGATTTTTCTCAATATTTCACTAGTGTTTATGCTAACTGGACTGACGTCAAGTCAGTCAGAAGAATCATCAAGAGCTAAGGGGGCACCTGACTACTATCTTGTCTTAGCCAGCGATTACTTGGAATAGATATCTACCATTTACCGCACTCCCGATAGCTACACTTATCATGTATTCCAGAACTGATGACGATACCACCCAGTTTCTCAGGTTAAACTGGGCACAGCAGAACTGAAGTCTACCACTTCTTCTCTGAAGGCTGAGTGTTTAAGCCGACGTGTGTATTGTAGACTGTTAGCTGCCGATTTGACATTCAGCTCCTGTTAACTGATAATATTATGTAATCATGAGTAGTTTTTAAAATATTCCCATTATATTATGCTTGATGTTGACTATCACTGAAATCCAGTGAAATCGTCCTATTTAGGGCTTGTCATAAGGCGGCGCCTGCCTTCACAATAAGATGGTCTTTACACTGAGACTAACTGCCACTCAACGTATTTGATGTGCCATCTCCGGTAGGATCATCGGTGCATTCGTTAGTAGTTCAGAGGAAAGGCGTCCTGCCTGAATCACTAGGCTAGCTTGGTTTCCATCCAAAACAACGCAACTTATTTTCTTTAATTCTTGTTGTTGTACTCATTAAATTATGTCTGTGGTTTGCCAAATGCGCTCATGGGCATTTTTAGTTGATTTGCTACCTACAGTTGCTCATCTTTGGGGACCGAAGAAAGAAAATATTACGCAATAAACTACGCTAAAAACTGTGCATATTGTGTAAACTTATTGTGCAGAATAAAGCTGCTATTATTGTTATTATTATTATCATTACAAAAGTGTACATCGATCGTACAAACAAGTACCAGTTCTCGCAGAAACTGAAGACATACCTAACTCCTTATCGTAATAAGACAAAGATTTGTAAATAAATTTGACAGTCCCCGACAAGGAAACCACGTTTTGTTACTAATGTTCTTATCTCTCACCTTATTCTTATAAATTCAAAAGTGTTCTTCAGGCTCCATCTAGGCACTTTATACTACAGTGTGGTTTAAGTATGACTGTCAGTCATCTCGCTACTTCACTATAATTTGTTGAAATGGATGGTTTTATTGAGAAGTTATTATTTCCTCTCTAGACAATGTCATAGGTGCTAACTTCAGTGTGTAGTGAGCTTTTGCAACTCTTCATGGAAGAAACATCCTTGTCTCTTGGTAACCCTTAATCGGATTGGTTGTGCCTGGGGATCTTACAACTCTACTTAATGGTAATGATATTGATCGTCTCATCAATATCCAAATATTTGTTAAATGCAAACTGATGTGATCACCAATCTTCTAGGGATTCCCCCTTCCAACCCATTATTCAAGTTCCCTTTGTTTAAGATTTTTATATGATACAAGTTGAACTGATATGAATACAACCCTGAGAAAATACATCTAGACAACTAAACATAGTCAACACCACCAAAAAGATGGTTATTTCATCCATGAAGACTTCCTAGAGCCCACCTGACACTGAATTTAATGCTGAGGATGTTGTCTAGAAAACAATAAAAGCTTCGTACTACACAACTGCTGCGTCTTCGTTTCCTGCTATCCAGCAATGCAGACATAAGACCCTATCAGGGGTCGAACCGAGGACCTTAGGATCACCACACGAGCTGCAAGGTTGAAATTCAATGACCTTAGTATTCTCACTCCATGTACTAATGTCTAGTCTTTGATGTTATAACGGAGTGATTCTGGGTTGTGAGTTCATTTAACCTGACTAGAATTCACCTTTAGAACCCCCATATTATAACTAATTGATCGGCCGAAATCACCTCCACTCTGAGACAGACACAAAAGGAAGGCTGAAGAAAGCGACGACAGCAACAGCAAACTTTATTATTTTCAAGTAATGGTTTTATAAGGATTTCGTTTGATTGGACAGAGGATCTCATCATGAGCTGACATCAGTTAGAGAACCATTGGATGAGCAATCAGGGAGTACTGGAAAGCTAACTGTTTCGCCAAGCTAGTTTGGGGCTCTTCATCAGTACGCACCTACCGCCGGGGTTCGAACCCAGGATCTTCTGGTTACAGGGCTAGTGAGGTCGTAGATCCCTAAGCCACTGGGACCCAATCCAGTGGTCAGCCCAGGAATTTTAACTTCTGCCAATTCATGGCATAGAACAACCACTTCGCAATTTCATGTCAGAGGGTAGCCAATAGATAGGGCGCCAGTTGCGCAATAGTCTACTAACTAGCCGTGTAACCAGATTGTCGTGGGTTCGAACCCTGGAGACGGGTGCGTACTGATGAAGAATCCTAAACTAGGTTGACCAAACAGCTGGCTGTCCGATACTCCCTGACTGGTTTTCCATTGGTTCTCTAACTGATTTCAACTCATCATTATGAAATCCTCCAACCAATCAACCTTTATTATCCAAAATGCATACTGTATTATGTTTACAAACCCTCAGAAATTTAAGCCATTAAATAAAACAAATCTGATTGGTCATCTGGCATTGAAATCTCTCTCACCAAGAATTAAGCCATAAACAAACGAATCGGACTGTCCAATAAGATTATCATCTCAGCGCATGCATAAATCACGAGTTCATCTAACAGTTGATGAATATCTTCCTGGGAAAGTAAATCCTTCCCTTTGTAAATCTCTAAATCAATAAATATTTTTGGGATTTGAATTTCTAATTTTTTTTTTAAAATTACTTTTTCAGAATAATACACAATATTGTCAGCCGTTGTTATGCTCCAGTTTCATGGCATTCACTTCTATAGAATACCATCACCTTTGTTGTTCGAGCACTATTCCTCATATAAAGCATCAGCTCAACTCTACTGAACAAACTACCTCTCTATCAAATCTGAATAAATGCACAAACTCAAGATTGGCCTCGTCTTTGAAGTCAATGTCAACACTTCAATGTATTGATTGCCAATGTGTGGTAAGAAAAATTTTTTAAAATGCATAATTTTGATTGGACACTAGTCATTAACTAGTGTAATGTATCTAGCTAGTTCCTTGTTGGTTGGAGACTGAATTCTATCAGTCAGTCAAGTTTGCAATGTGGCCATCATGTCACTAGGTAGTTCACCGTCATGGTGCACTTTGAATTGTTGATGTTAGATGGCTGCTGGCAATAGACAGGAAACCTAGGGCTTGGTTTCGTACTAGTTGGCAGTCACTAGTCAGCAAGGCGTATCTGCAACCACCTTGAAGAAACTCATTTCCCCCCCCCTGAGATTCCAATCCACGTCACTCAGTGCTACCTGCAGTCAGTGACGTTACCAATTAGTTATTCGGATTCGAATCTCAGAAGGGTCATGTGATCCTTCAAGGTTGCAAATACGCCTTGTTGACGAGTGCCAACTAGCCCAAAACCTAAGTCCAATGCTTCCTGCCGATCATCTCCAACGACCTAATATCAAAATGTATAATTTTCTGTAAGATATTATAAAGGCTAAGTTCAGTCTGGCTTTCGTATTTTTATGGCACTCGTCAGGTGAACAGTTAAGTGTCCCTCTCTGTTTAGAAGTAGAACATATCACACTCACTACATATGCCTATATGTATACATAATACTTTTCCCCCCTAACACCCTGATTGGACTCAAACCACCAACCTTTCATTTAACAACCGAACGCACCAACCTACTCAGCGAATCCTGACAACACTGTTGGTCCCTCGAGGGAGAAAGCACCGGCCACTCATGTGGTCTAGGTTCCGTTACCTGTAGATGCAGTTCAGAACCTCTCTCAGCCGGTAGTAAGCTCAGCTAAAAGAGGAAGTTAGGCTAGCAACCCCATCCTACCATTAATGAAACTACACAGATTAAAGTCGAAACCCTGTTTTTCACATGTAACGTTAAGCAATAGAAAAAACACATTTATACTCAACAAAAAGTGCTCCTTACTGACTTTTACAATCAATAAGAGATAATTCTATATTTTCTGTTTTCAACACTAAGTGGCTTAGTTTCAAGCTGTAGGATGTTTCCAATCGCCTTCTTATTATGAATGAATGGAAATACTGTCGCTTTTTTGGGATAACGGCGAACTGGTAAAAATGAGCGTAGATCGTCAGATTTATTTTTAATGGAAACAAAACACGTAGATCAGCGAAGAGTCTCATTTTGGTGGCGAATTCATTCCGCAAATATTTATGTTATTTTGTATGTATGTTTACATTAAGTTTGTCAAACAAAATTACAATTGGTTATGGTTATTTTAACTAAACAAGTGAAGGTTGGTAATACAAGTCAAGAAAATGGGGTGTTAATGAAATTAGGGTAGTAACAAAGATTTTTTGTTTTTATTGATTTTTGATTTTTGATTTACAGCTTGATTCCACACTGCATTTTCTGTACAAGTATGGAATTTTTAGCATGGATATCGGTAGCCCAAATTTTGCAGGCTGACCATAGATATCAGGTGTGCGTCGGCAGGGGATCGAACCCCAGACCATATGCATGGTTAACGAGAGTTCTAACCACTGTGCCACCGACGATGATAAGTTGTCATAAACAGTTGTTAAAAAAGAAGCTATGTAATAATATGAATAGTTTGATGAGTGAGTTTTACTCAGGATGCACATAGGAACAAAGTAGATAATACGAAATTACGTAAGAGTTCTAAATGAAGATTTTTTAAGAGGATTTTCATCATGAGCTGACATTTAGTTAGAGAACCATTGGAAAACCTGGGAGTACTGGACAGCTGTTTTGTCCTAGTTTGGGACTCTTCAGCAGTACGCACCCACCGCCATCGTTCGAACCCAGGACCTTCCGGTTACAAGGCGAGCTCATATATCATTAAGCCACTAGGACCCGATCTAATGGCCCACGAATTCTAACTTCTGCCAGCTCACGACATAGCGCGTTCCCAGCCAATGTCTTCGGTGAGTATTTGTCCTTACACCCAACCTGCTGCTTAATAGTATGCGAGCTCGCCTTGTAACCAGAATGTCCCAGGTTCGAATCCCGGTGGGTGCGTACTGCTGAGGAGTCCCAAACTGGGACGAAATAACTGTCCAGTACTCCCAGATTTTCCAATGGTTCTCTAACTAATGTCAGCTCATGATGAAAATCCTGTAACCAATCAAATCTCTACAAACTAACACTTGAAGTTTTTTTGTTATATTTCATCCCTTTGAGTTACTAATGGAACATAGGGTTACAAGATTGAGCTTTGAAATTTTAGTAGCAATGTTATTTCTTTAACAGTGTGAAGTAGCCAACTCCACATGCAACTCTCCATTTCTGCCGTACTTACTGCAAGTTAAACGAAATTAAGGTGTATGTTGGCAGAGGATCGAACCCAGGATACCGCCGCTCAATTTGGCTGCAAATATACCCAACTGATGGATGCTGAATAGGGTGGAATGCGCATCCTATATTCCGCTGTTAGCCAATATCAATCGGAAAGTACATACACAGGGATTTTGAATAGTTTCACAGAAAGCCATATGTTTCATGTATGTTTATATGCTTCATTAGGGTGTATCTAATGTCTTAAAGAAGCTTATATCTCTTTTAAAATCGGAATTTTTGTATGTTCGAGTGTGAAGTCAAATGCCTTACTATTTGGTTATTCTGTCATCACCAAAGAGGATTACTGAGTGATGCACAAAAATTAACCACTTCAAATTGATCGGTACAGTTGTCTGGTAGTAGGTGTTACACATAAAAACTACACACTTAAAAGTTGCCTCTCACATGACATTTTTGACAGACTCAAGTATAAAAGAAAGTATAGGCCAGCTTCACTACAGCGCGCATCACTTGTGAAGCAAATAACTCGGTCACTTCACAAATCCTGATCAATTTAATTATGAAGCCTTTATTGTTCTTCGGCAAATTTTCTTCAGTGCTGCATTAAGTCAGGCGTGAACTTTGAGTATCCTCCATTGGTGAAATATAGTTTTCACTCGAGGAAACCTTTAGAGTGATTGACTATTCGCGTAGTGAGTGTTGTTTTGTGTTCCTCTGCGTTCCTAACAGAAAATAGGACTTTAAGCATTGAGCTTTGAAGTTTCAGTGGAAGAGGTGTTAGTTATTCTTTTCCAAGAGGTAGGTTTTCTTGCCCCACACCCAACCGTTCCTCTTTACTGAGATTGTTACTGCTGACTAAGTCAGGTAAGGTATTGCGTTGCCTTAGGACCGAACATCAGAGCACTTACGGTTTGGTTGGCAAAAGTTCTACCAATGAGTCATTGATGCACGAAGTATAAATCCTAGGTTTTACTGTGGTGAGAGCTGGCTGCTAACCAAAATTAGTAGACAGTAATTTACGTCAATGTTTACGTCCCCAATATCGGTCATGAGAAAAATAAGAACAAAGACTGACTTAACAATCAATCACAGCAGACTTTGCGTAGGTGGATACAATTTTGCAGATAGATAATCTGAACTTCAATAAACTGCCACAAAGAGATGAACGATTAACGTTCAATGAGAAACCACCAAGCAGAAGACTGTGTTTGTTTGTTTACAATAATCTATAATAATGTACATGAGAATCCATGAATATCTGTTGATTTCCTAAAATAAACGATCTGCTGCCTGGCCCTTGTCTTCTGTTGTTACACTGCTATCAATTATTGTCACAAAATCTTTCGTTTGAAAGGCAGCGAATGAGAAAAATGTACGAATATTTATCTCATAAACTGCTTAGCACGGGTAGGTAATTTACCCGAATATTACAAGAGCAAGCCGTCATATTGCCTGTGTATATTAAACTAGGTTGAATTTCTCACAATGGCTGGAAACATTTTAATCAAATTTTCTTAAAATCTTTGGGGAAGATTTGCAACTGATTTGAATGAGTTTCATATGGTGGTGTTCTCCCTGAGCTAAATGTTTTTATTGCGACCCTTTGATTCTCCTTGAGGGAAAACATCTTCAGCCTTGGCGTCATCATAATTAATTGAACTCTTTGAGAATACTAAATTGGTGAAACACTTTTTCTCTCTGTAGTAACCTCACATTTCCTGAAGGATAATGAAGGCTTCATAATTGAATTGGTCAGGATTTGTGAAATGACGGACGACTTTATTGGCTCCATGAATGATGCGTGTGCTATAGTGAAGCTGGCCTATGCTTCCCCTTACACTTGAGTTTGTCAAAACTTCATGTGAGAGGCAACGTTTAAGTGAGTAGCTTTCATGTGACACCTACAACCAAATAACTGTATCGATCACTTTGAAGTGATCAATATATGAGCATCAGTCAGTAATCCTTCTTGATTTCAGTTATGACAGGATAACCCAATGGTGAGGCATGTGACTTCAGACTTGAACATACAAAAATTCCGATTTTAAAACAATTCTAAGCCTCTTTAGATACACCCTAATGAGGAATATTAACATTCATGGAAAATATGGTGTCAAAGAACTTAACCGTCAATTTCTATTATTTCCGAAGACGCTCCAAATCGACTTCAACTCCAAAATACAAGGACCAACAAGAAATTGTATTCTCTGTACAAAGTCTTTAAACAAATGTTTTAAAAGGAATGCATTGTACTTTTGTTCGTATTCCTGCGTCTTCTTCCAACTTTTACTCAACTGAACCATTCGCGCCTTCAAGTTGCCCGCCAATGGCGACCAAGGCCAATGCTCAAACGTTCAATGTTCACATTCATTTACATATGGCTTTCTGTAAAACAACTGTAAATTAGTGTGAATGTGTTCTCCGATTGATATTGGCTAACGGTGGAATACAGAATGTCCATCTCGCACTATTCGGCCCTCGTCAATTGGATATACTTGCAACTTGCAAAGTGAGCGGCGGCGTTCCCAGTCAGGCTGCAATATACCATCCACCCATCGTTTCTGATATGATAAAGTTTTATCCACTAGGTCAATGATAGTCATGATAGCCACCTCATGTGCAACAGAAATCGGTTGCCATCCGCTTTAAATTGTATTTCCCCTTAATTTTTTCACTGTATTGCATTGAAATACTCATCCTGGATTCCACTGCTGGCCAATATCAACCAAATATGGTATCATATTAATCTTCTGACATTGACGAAGTGTCCCTACTAAGAGTAAATGTGTCAACAAAGATTGATCAATACAACAATCGATCAATAAATAACATATTAAACGTAGCTAACAAAAAGAAGTGAGGATGGTACGTTAAAAATGTGTTGACTCACCGAAAATCAACATTAACAAGGCAGTACACTAACTAATTTCAACAGTTGTGTACCTCTACGCAAGAAGGGAAATCTTATCCGTTCTCTATACTCCAGAATTGGGAAAACTTGTGTTGTAGATACAGTTGACATGGAGCTAGAAAACCTTCACAAAACTCTCTTAAGTAATGGGTATCCTAGAAGGTTTACTGAGAGAAATATCAAGAAAAAGCCGTCTCCAGCTAAATCACAGTGCCAAAGAAGATATTATTTATGAGTGTGACGTTCCAAGGTGACACTGTTCCTGAAGAGATTAAATGTCGTTTATCTAAATGTAATAAGCGCTCTTTTTATGCAGCTGACCTACATTTAATATTTATCCGCGGAAATACAACTGGGATAAACTATCGCTTATGCTCATACGCTTTCACATGGTTGTGTGGAGCTAATTACATTGTATGTTGTAAGCCTGTTCTCCGTAAATGCGTTGCTGAACACTACCCGGTTTGCTTAATGAAAGGCGAGGATAGAATGATGAAGTTTTCAGTTTGTGAACACCTTCTCCGGTCGGTCATACAGACCTACGTGATTTATCCTTTAAATCTATCTACAGGACCAAATCCAATCACTCCAAAAGCCTAGGTTTTCTTCAATTATGCATAACCGAAGCTCTAGCTATACATGGACAGAAACCTAAATTATGTATTCAAAAATGTTCTGTTAAACCCCTTTCTTTACCTTGGTCATTGTAGTGTTCTTTTATTTATATTTTTTACTTTACCACTTGAATTCATTCTGATTCACCTCATCTTCGCCGTGTTTACTGTTATCATGGTCGTATTCTTAATGTTTCTAGACAACACTTGATCTACAATTTTTTGAAATCATTATACCAGTTCGAATTTAACTGGTGTATGGTGGCTAGCAGTGGAATCCACCAGGATAACGCAAATTTCGTCCTTTTCGACAGTCATCATATGGCTGCACCTGCATTTCCGAGGCTTGAAACCAAAGCGTTCTCCACTAGACCACTTGGGCCACGAGAGCCATCTCTTGTGGAACGGGTCAAATAATTTTGATTAAATTTTAGATTTTCCATCGATCGATTGGACCGAAGTGCTTGATCTCAGGTTGACATATCGACTCTTTGTGCAGATGCTTCGACGATATTTAGACATCCTGGATTCCACTGCTAGTCACCATCAGCCAATTAAATTCTAACTGAATGCCCTGACATCTTCAAAGCATCTGCATAAGAAGCTGACCTGTCAACCTGAAACTGAGCACTTCCGTCCAATCAATTATACCAATTCACTTGTTAAATAATCTTTAAAAGTCTTGTAATCCATCCATTTCAACTCTACCGCGACCCTCTTTGTACATCATTTTAATTACCTTTATTCTTATCATCCGATGCGCAATATTGACTGAGCAATTTCAAGTGCCATTTAATGTCTTCTTTTTCCGTAATGTAAATACGACTTTACAGCTTAAAAATGTTGTTGAAAAGAGATAGATATATCTTCGCTGAACAAGTTCTTTATTTTTCCCTAATTTTATAGGATGATCGCATCTACTGTACATTGAATGCCACACAAATATATCAACGCAACAATGTAAATGTCCAGTGTGATCAATTATTATCAACGCTACAACGAGATTCATTACTAATTCCTATGAAGTATATTCAGATAGATAAATCAAGAGACGGACAGTAATAATTGACAAAAAAAGAGACTTTATAATCGACTTTAATGTTTTATTTTCTAATCTGCATGTCTGTCTATCTATCTATCCGTCTGACTGCTTGTCTGTCTGTCTATCTATCTGTCTGTGTGTCTATCTTCCCACCTAGTCTACTGTTTGTCTATCGAAAGCAACTGCATAATATTTTCGTATATAGACAGATAAATGTACATATAAAATAGGGGACAAAACGCCCAATCACTGTTATATCGCTTTATTACGTTTTCTTGAAATTGTGATAAAACGATGAATGAGTTTCATGTAACCTGTAAATAAATAATTTTTGAGATAATCTTACTTATTCTTTTGCATGGTATATGTAGCAAAACCGCTAACTAGTTTCTTTGGCAAGTAACTCTCGATACATCCAACTTTGAGGATTCAGCCAAGATGTCTAACTAAAACTTTATACACTCCAGCCATGTAGTCAAACACCAGTAAGAATCAGATTAGTTTTCAAATGTTAGTTTGTAGAAACTTGATTGGTTTCAAGTTAAATCAACCCCACCCCACCACCTCCTCCATAAATGACTTGGTACTGCTGACGTTGACTGGGCAGATTTTGGCCTTCCTCTCGAAATCCTCCCATGTGGTCACACGCTTTCATAAACTCTGACAGGTAAAAGTTATATTTACTACCTTCACATAGTGGCGGAGGTGTTCCTCATTAAAGATGGTGAAAAAGCGAATCAGAACGTCTGGTGTTTACAGTCGAACTGATGGATATACAGTTGATCTACATAGGGAAGCTTGAAAGACCCTGATTTTAAACCTGCGGTGTAAATGAGCTAAACAAACCGAAGGGATCCAATGGTGCGTATGAACGGGTTTTGATCACTGGAAACCAGTGGAAACACGTAGCTCCTTACTCTGCTTTACTGTTTTGCGTCTGAATCAGGTCTCAAGCCAAACGCTCAGCAAGAGTGGCCCCCTAAGACAACCACTAGATTCGGTCAACTCGTCCAACCAGTATCTCAGTCCTTGCAGATTATTATTACTGTTCCCTTGGGTTCCTAGTGGAACACAGGGCTTCAACTGCACGTCTCCACTTGTTTCTGTCTTCTGCTGTACTTTTCACCTGCATCCATGCTAGTTAGTCCGTACTGTTTCAACTCCTCTTCACACGATCTCCTCCACGTCACCCTTGCACTGACATCCCACTCACCGCTTCCCTTTCGGCCTGGTTCCACTCGAGCAATGGTATGACGCGTGCGCGATGTCACCCAGCGGCCTCCTCAGCGAGTAGTATCCAATCCATCTCAATCCACTTTCTCCTGCATATTTGTTGGTTGGCGATTGGTTCTTGTCTTGTTTGTTCCCATAGTTTCCAGTAGTTGGTGATTCTTTCCGGCCCGCCCAACTGATTAATCTTCGATATAGGGCTAAGACAGTTGTTCATAAAGGTCTGGTCTGCAACAGGCTGTTGGAAATATTCTTCGTGACCCGCCCGCCAAGTTTCTGATTTGTATAGAAGAACTGACTGACTCGACGTGATTGTATTGGAAATCCGACTGAATTTTGTTGTTGATGCTGAGTGACGTGATTATGATTTCCAGATTGGTTTCAGTTGGTTGATGAAGGTGTTTCTCGACCCCCCACCACCACCCGATTCTCGCTCGATTTGACATCCTCGTCCGTTCCTCCGTTCCTGTAGTTGAGACAATGCTTTCTAGATAAGTGAATGAAGTCACCTCTTTCATATCCCTTCCGTTGATGGTGGTTGGCGCTAGATGTTCCTGCTGTTGTTGTTGTTGGTTGGTTGGTTATTTTCATAACCTCCGTCTTGTCAATGTTCACCTGGAGTCCTGTCTTCACCGGCTGCTTCTTCGACCAGTTTGTCGGTTTTCGCCTGCCTGTAAGTCTTCAATTTTGAGTACTTGCAAAAGTTATGAGATTTCGTATGGATCATTTCTTCGTGTCAATAATGTACTAAATTTGATCACAGATTAACATCGGTATGACAGCCATTGGGAAATAAAGAGTACTGGATAGCCGCTTCATCCTAGCTTGCGATTTTTAGCAGTACATATCCATGATTTCACAAATAAATAATCGAAGCCAGGACCTACAGGTTACAAGGTTAGCCCGTTAACTATTCAGACACTGGAATGGAAATCAATGAATACTCCAAGTATTCTAATTTTTGTCATTTTATGGAACTGATCTCCACCTGCAATCAATGCTGTGGGCACGTACTGCTTAAGAGTCCCAAAGCCAGATAAAACAGCTCTCCAGTACTCCCTGGTTTTCAGCGGTAGTTCTCCAAATGACGTTAATCATTGATTTAGCTTGAAAGCCAACACCTGAAGATTACATTTAAGTCGTAAGTCTGCAGCGATACCAGGAACGAAGTTATTAAAGGGCATATGAATAGGAATAAGGTAAAAACTCAATTAGGATTTCATTTAAAGACAGCTGTTTATTCATTTCAGTATCGAAAGTCAGTCAAGCTTAATATCCGTTTGTTAGTGATATTATGTACGAAGTAGTCTTATATATCATCGTAAAAATTCAGTTACCAGGTTATGAGTCATATTTGTTGTTAGAGGACTGATGTTCAACCTGAAGTAGGCTAAAACGGATTCAAACTTTGGACCCACTAGCTGATAATGTAGTACTCATTTAAATGCACCTTAAGACAGCAAAGCATTAAGTGATGAATAACGTTCAGAAATGATTATCATTAAAAACTCTGAGGACATAAAAATCGGAAGAATATTTATTGTTCACAAGATTAAGGGATCCAGAATATTTATAAATTATGTTTTAAAGTTAGGAGTTTGAAAGGCATAAAGCATGAATATGAAAAGACGCTTAAGGCTACAGTAGTAAAGGTGGTTGAATAAACCGCTTATATATACATGCAAGGATTCAAGGTTCTGCTTTGCGTAAATCAAAGAACAAACAAAATCTATTCACATAGAGCTATTCTGTCGCATCTTGTGGAGATAGAACACAAGATTGACGTTAACAAGGTGGCTTTCAGGGTCATTTACCGCATGCCAACCAGTATCAATTTTGCCTTAAGAGTTCGACTAGTAAATATTGCTGATGCTGTAGAGATCCATATTAACAAGCCTAATCTGTGCATTCAAAAGAAGTTAATTCAGACATTATCCTTACCCCACTGGCCAACTACTTTTGAATATTCCTGAATTTTTGTGGAATTTTCCCAATTTTAGTTAATATTCTATTCCCTATTATATCTTTATTATTATTATAATTTAAGCAGCTTTAATGAACTGTAATCCCATTGTGATCTTACTTATCAAATCGATATTATTATTTAAAAAGCACACTAATATTGTTATTGACTACTAATCTAGAATATTCTATGTATATAAACATAAAGATATCTAATTGTCGAGCCAGAAGAGAAATCTATCGAAAACAAAACATTTTAGTTTTAATTGCATTTCATACAACTATTATTATTTTATACATTCCCACCTATGATTCAATTCCCTCGCCGGATATAATTTCTTAAAAAAGGCCATATATATACGATTGTACAGCTTGATGATGAATTCGTGGAAAACAGTCTCTTCACTGAATCACTTGTTTTGATTTTCTTAATTACATATACGTTTATATACATAGAATATTCTAGAATAGTAGTCAATACCATTATTAGTGTTTTTTTAAAATAATATCGATTTGTAAAGTAAGATCACAATGGAATTACCACAGTTCATTAAAAATGCTTAAATTATAATAATAATAATATAATAGCAGATAGAATATCAACTAAAATTAAGGGAATTTCAACAAAAAACTGAGGATCATTCGATCATAGATGGCCAAAGTAAGGATAATGTCTGAACTAATTTCTTTTTCATGCTTGTTAATGTAGTTCCCAACTGCCGGCCATAGCAATACTTAGTAGTTGAACACTTTAGGCAAAATTGAGATTCGAAGGTATGCGGTAAATGACTTTGAAAGCAGACTCGTTGACATCAATCTTGTGTTCTGTCTCCACAAGGTGACATAGAATAGCACTATGTGAATAGATTTTGTTTGTCCTTTACTTAACCAACCACTATGCAGGGTGATGTTCGGAAATTCGACGAGAAACACGCCTAATTGTACGGCCTATGTAACTAACTGGCTCCACAGGAACAGTTAAATTGGTAGATACACACACACACACATAGAAGAGGCGAAATTAAGCAGTTTATCTTTTACTCCTGAACGCAAAAGAGGAGTGGTTTTGAGCACACATGGCGTAATTCAGCACCACGGAATGCTCTTTTCACCACATTTCTAAGGCGCTGTGTTAGCATCTCGCTGATGCTGTCCCCAAGGAAGTGTATTTGTAAGAATAAGGCCTTTTTTTGCAACTATTGGTACCTTGGGTTGCTTTAATTTTAGATTCATATTCTTATCAATCAACTATTCTGGATAACTGTTTTCACTCAACAACCGTTTAATATTATTAAGTTCCTCATCAGGACATTCATCCGAGCAGACTGTTCTTGCTCCTTGGCTGAGCAAGCACTTTATCAGGTCGTGTTTGTATTAGAATTCATGGGTTACTGAATCCATCCAAGTGAGCGTGAATCGCTGAAGCGCTTTCAAGTAAGATAGAACAATTGTCTCTTACTACCTGGTTATGCGTCAGACTGTGCGCAGGGAGAGCGAAGACAGGAATTGATTAAAAAATCGTTTATCTAAATGTGTTAAACGCACTTTTCCTGCAGCTGACCTGCAACTAGTTTTTACCAGCCGAAATATGATGAGACAATGCGTCAAGGATAGATTACCGCTTTTGTCCACATCTATGTGCATTTACTCTTTTACCTGCTCTTGTGGAGCTGTTTATATTGGACGTTGTAAGCGTAATCTCCGAAAACGTGTAGCTGAACACTATACGGTTTGGTTAATGAAAGGCGAACGTAGAACTGCAAAGTCGTCTATTTGTGATCACCTGATAGAGTCTGGTCATTTAGCCCCCCACGTGATTCATCTTTCA